GGATAGAAGGCGTGATGTTATGTTAGGTGATCATGATACTTAAAGAATACGTGGTTAATTAAAGACACTGTCTTATGTTCCTTGATATAAAAGTACTGCGTGTTTTGCATGCGACTTTAATTTGAATTTGGTAGGTACCTAGTGTTCCTGTCGACTTTTATTTCTGTCTACTTCACCTCTTCAATTAAATCCCCATACATCCCTCACAGCCAGTTCGTACAGCCTTAATTGCATTCGTTAAACCCTAAAATATTCATGCACCTCCGTTATAAGGATGGGTAATCGATCTCAATACATGCAATAGCCGCTTTACCAGCAGTCTGATACCTGCGTGCTCAGTTCACGTAGATATACATTAATATTGCTTCGAGACCAATAAGGCTGTTTACAAACGCGCTTTGTACTTTGTGGCTGGCTTGCAAACAAGCCTGTCCCATTATTGCACCATTGTGTGCCATCTAGTGTCTGGAAATTTTGCAATTAATATGGGCTTGTAACCACGCCTCAGTACAGCTGATTAAATTCATGCGACGCCCACTACCCTGTGTATTGTGACGCCCGCCATAGTCGAGATTGATAGGTTAATAAATATTGTGCTACCATAATGAGGCTTTTTGTTAATTAATGTTGGGTTTCGAAAATTTTTGAGTTCTATTTTATTTACAAACGAAATTATTAAGTTTTATTTACACATTTTTATTGCGTAGTTAGTCACTTTTTACATTGTTTCAAAACATGTCCATATCCTATACAATAATTTAACTGACACTCAATCGAATTATTATTTAATCTTTTACGAAAATAAATGATGCAATCTACCATCGTTTCATGCCAAAATACATTTTAAATGTAATTACAAATAATAATGGTTGAGCGCAAAGGTGGAGGCTTGATTGGTTGAGTGAGACCGCGAAGTGCGGGCAGGCCAAACTTTCTTAATTAACTCGTTATTGTGCAGTGCACGAAACACCGAGCTGTGTAAGCTCTAGCCACGTAGGTATAGCTTACAGGCTACAGCCGTCCTTACTAAGTAAATACTACCAAGTTATTATTTATTGTATTTCACTTGTTATTGTTCGGATGCTATAAATTATGCATGCTGCAAACCAACTTTGCAATCACTAAAACTAGCATGATATAAAGTAACATTTTACTTTTGTTTTCAGTTTTAAGTAAGACCATTTAAGTAAGTAAAACCTAACCTAACCTAACCTAACTAATAATAAGTATCTAACGGCTGTCCATGGGGGACGCGGATCGCTTACCATCAAGTGATCCGTCTTCTTATTTGCCTCTTGTTCCATAAAAAAACGATATTATTAAGCACATAGGTACACGATATGGTCCGTATATGTATATCACTGTGTAGAGATATCGACTTAATCGGTAATCGTTATCGATACTTGCAAAGGTTTCTATAGCACAATCGACTAAACCTTGATAAGTAACGTATCAAAGGAACTAAACATTATCCACATGCCTACATAAGAGGGAAGGTTACGAACCTATTCGGATAATAAGGAAACCTTTCGCAGTAGAAAAGGTCGAATTAATTATGTAGACCGTATCGAAAGGCAGAGCCGACGTGGAATCAATGTCAGGCTTTTTCAGACATACCCATATGTGTCCTCATTGCCAACACACAATGCTCTTTAATCTGACCATTATTGACATGGCTCTTGCCACCCTGCGCCTTATTAAGACCACCTCTTTTATTTTTATAGTCTGTGACAAAAAATTCGCCTTCATGCAAGTCAATAGAAATGACAACGGTATTCAATCCTCATTAATTTACCGTCATTCGCTATTCTAGAGTCGTAATGTCGGAAATTGATTGATTTTGTTTATGTATCCTGGATCGCACTAGACCACACACAGCAACTCGTAAATCAGAAAGAAATGAACTTTATTAGACTGATATTCCGGTTTTTATTCTTGTAGTTGGCATTTAGATGACACTTATTAATAAAAATATTGTGAATTATAAAGTTTTCATTCTATTATCGCCACTGCTGTATCGACGATGAATAAAACTATTTCAATGGTTTTTCTAAAGTAAAAATGTGTATTTCTGTAAAAACACAGAAGAATTAATCTATAACTGCCTACCTTCTTTGCCTCTCTTTACGTACCTACCTCCAAATAAATATACCTCCTACGCTAACAAATAGTCGGGTTATATTCTCAAATGTACCTAGGTAATATGTGCCTATGTTTTTTCTTAACTCGTCGAGTACCGGTTTTGTAGACACAATTATAGAACAATAGGTTGCGGTCACCGGTGACCGCTTGGTGTTTGACAGTTTAATTAAGTACATCTTTATGAAAATTATTGTGATCTAAGGTAATTTTAGCTAATTATAGTACCTTCCTAAGTACTTAATTAATAGCACACTCAAAATTAGTCTCATAATTCAGTGTAATAGTTATTCCTGGAGTTGAACGTGAAAGCTCACGCTTACGTCCATAAAATTATATTGGCTAACTATTTAAATAGCTATCTGAGCTGTAACTACGTAATGGCCAAAGAAATGTAGATAAAGGGAGATAAATGAGGTACTTGCACACTGCCTCCAACTCCAGACCTCGCGCAAAAACTCTGCTAGCTCATGGATGGATACTGCCATCTACTAGTATATAAAGCCTTTATTTCTTAGAACAACCAACTCTATATAGGGTCATTACACGGACCTCCGGCCTCCACATCACCACAACAAAAATTAATCAGTAGGCAAAGCAATACCTCACAGCTACACAAGAGAGACTAGTCCACAAAAACGCTCCATTAAAACGATAAGTTTTTCAATGAGGGATTTAGCAAAAGCTTCTTTTTTCATCCACTTCGTTCACCCATAAACGAACGCTGTCAGCCATCGCCATTGAAATCGGTCTCCTTTAATTTTGAAGCCAATAAATTTTGTAATCCGCCAACTGAATTTATATCGGCCATTTAATGTCAATAAAAGAGAAGACGCCAGCTCGCGCTTTTTGCCGGGCCCGCCAAATGTCACCGAGCTCATTTTACATACAAAGGTGATGTGTCAATGATTATAGTTAGGACTCGGGGCCGAGTTGCCGAGTTCTTTGCATTCCTTTCCAAGGTTAATTCAAGGGTATCTGCGAGAATCGAGCTGGTAGGTAGGTAAATTAATCACAATACTTATACTTACATAAACGCTTGTATGATGTGCAGTGCAATTATTTTACAGGATTTGAAATGAATTCCCATAGAGTTGAGAATCATGTTACACCAATCACGCTCTCCAGATTGAGCGTCAATATTTACACATTAATACAAAGCGTATTGTAATTACATCCCGAACATAATACGTGCTATGCGCGCTATTGCCATCTCATTTCATTAAGTGCGTCTAAGTACCTTGGTACGTATGTACCTAGGTATTAATCTGTAAACAATGTCAGTCTAGCCGTTGAAGGCGTCACTCAGGTTCCATTAACCCGTCAATGGTGGACGGAGAACTCGGTTGCGTATGACAGTATACTTGTTCAAGTCTAATCGCTTGATGAGGGAGTCATGTCGACACGCACACAAATTGCGTCGCTTGTTTACGACATACCTACCTAACTCAATTCGTGTATTGTAGTGCACTACCTACTTAATCGTTTCGCCAGCGAGAGGGTGGAACACCCGATATCCTTTGTCTGTTTAACACTAGGTACACGTTTGGAATAATGGCACACGCAATCGTATTAGGTCGTGCCTGATTTAGTAATAAAAAGGATTTGTTTTGTTTAACACGCTGTGTAGGTTCTCCTCTACCTAGGTACCTGCATAAAAGTAGGTGGGTAGATCCATCCGTTAATTAAACAGAGTATAGGCAGGTCCACTTATATAGCTACCTTAGAACGGAGGTAGCGAGGTAGGCAAGTAGTTAACATTTTTTTAGGGAAACATCTAGACAAGACACAGCTACCTACCCACTATTGTGTAAAGTGAGAAATTTAATACCTACTTTCGGTTTTTTCAAAATAACCGTACAGACGGTGAATGTCTTTTGAGAATAATCATCATTTTTGAATTGGAACGCCAAATGGCATTTCCATTGAAGCAAATGGTAGAGCCGTGCCGCTTTGTCGTCAGCCATTCGCTTCAGATTGAAAGGGCTGGATTCGATATCGTATGGAGCAGCTAACTGCCGATCGCAGCGACGAATGAATACCTACACCCGATACAAAGAACTGATCGGAATATTGAAGCTTACTCGAGTAGCGAGTCAATAGTGTCTGTACAAAATAGGACGAATTTCTCATTTGGATCTTGCGTAGCTACTTTGAAAAAGCACTTAATTATATTAACGTTAGGAATAGATGAAATCTACCTTTTCATCTGATGTCTAAACTTGTCCATCTGTAAATAGGAACAAATAATAATAAAATAAACGAAACTTCTTGGTACTCTATGTTTCAAAATCGATTGATGTTTTTTCTTAATTATCTTGACACTTTTGACATTATTAGAATAGTAATAAAAATATTAGTATTGGAATATAAATGGTAAAAAATTAAGAAGTGTCTATTTTTTTAATTATTTTTTCCATCGCTCATCATCACCATGTTGGTTAAGCCGCGTTTAAAATGTGAGGGTTGCATCAAGCCGGCGGCACGACGTCTCGCTCTGTTCCAAGCAAAAGACGAATACGAGTGCTATGCAGAGAGTTACGTCAAATGTTTCTGGGGGCTTTGCGATCTACACAAAAGCCACGAGAATATCCATCCTATGAAAGAAATCGAGAGTGAGAAACCAGTTTAATTTGTGATTATTTACTTACGATTTAAACTGTCAAACACCAAGCGGTCACCGGTGACCGCAACCTATTGTTCTATAATTGTGTCTATAATGACGGTACTCGACGAGTTAAGATTATTATGTACCTATTTATAAAGGAAGTTCACATCAGAAGTCTGTACTTCTGATGTGAAATTTCGTATCTGTATATGCACATACTTACAGTTATTGGTTTAGCATTTTGCAAGTTGTGTGAAACTAAAGCAATATCTCGTATAACAATACTAATTTCTATACTTTCTTTTCTTATGATGAACCAACAATTATTATTGCCATCATATTTCCGCGTCTCTGAATGAACTCCTCTTGATCGTGTGCTGAATGTTCACTAGAAACATATTGCAGAATTATAAACAAAAAAAATTCTGAATGATTACATACTGTTTGTTTCAGTAGTAACTGATCAGCCAAGACCCCAAGAGTTGCCATACAACAATGCCAGGATAATGAATGATATTGCTGTGACAAGTTGAAGAAGAGCAACCCGTAGAAATAATAATAACTAAATATTAAAAATATATTATATTTACAAGTACCAAGTTATAAAATTAAATTATAGTCAAATACTATTTTGATTTTCATTTAATACTTGTCTTACATTCATATTTATTCTTGACTCTTGAATGTAGTTTCTGAATCTGTTCCATTTTTCATTATCTATATTTTCATTCATTGTTCCAACAAATTCCTCTGGCTGTGATATGTATTTGAAACTGGATATACTATTGCTGGAGACATTTGAAATTTCTACTTCTTCCCAAGGGGACTCGGCTGATGGTAATATTTTTGGTACAGCATGGTAACATAGTCTGGCCTCCTTAGACATAACCACAATGTCCCCACTTTTGATTAGTATTGCTGATGGCTCTACTGACTTGTCTTGTCCTCCAATTAAAAATATTGCTGACTGGCCAAAGCTGGAACAGTATATATTATTTATTTAAAATTAATTTCATTTATTTTTTTTGTGTCTTGTAAATAGTCTAGTGGATTTTTAAAATATTTATCTTTACAATTGAGAATACTTTTACTTTTTGTTTCTCATTTTACAATTAAAAATCACCAAATATTACAATTTATGAATAAGTATAACTTTAAACAATATCAATACCTGAATGAAAATAGAGGTGCTTCCAAATTGACTTCGGAATGGTCAGTATGTGCTGATAATGTGGAGTTCATGTGGTAATAATTGACTATGGCTGCTTCAGCCTTAAAGTTAGAGTACCCCAAGTACTTAGCCAATATATCTGACAACTCTGCCAGGTCCAGGGGGAATAGTGACTTGTTCTGTTCTGTGTAAACCTGGAATGATAACAAAAAAGATTAGAACAACCGTAGATATGTGATCTTCTTTTAATAAAATATAGGTGGGCTGTGAAATTACCAACACAGATAAAATAAAAATTAAGATCTGATAAAGGTTAATATTATTGAAAATAAATAAAAGACTTAATATTTAAATACAGTTAATAAATATAATATTAACATTTTACTTTTGTGTCCCAGTTGTGGTGGTAGCCTAATGTAGTCCATCGAAGTTTCTTCTGCAGCTGCCTATCACATTCACTATTTTTAAAGCATTCCACCCACCAGTCTTCTACATTCATTTCTATATCAATATTTAATTTATTTGGTTTCCTTGGATATTCTTCAAGACATTTTCTAACCCAATATCTTTGTCCAAGTGTAGTGAAAGGATTTCTGATAAATAGTAAACCGGGGTGCCTTACAAATGTATATATTTTCCATGTTCTTATACTTTTTAGTCCTAATAATTCTGCTCTTGGATCGTCAGTACATGTATCCGGGGTTATTTTGTTCACCTAAAAGAAAGTAGACATTATAATTATCTACACAGTATCTCTTGCCCTGGACTAACAAACGGTAGATTTATATAAATTATCAAACCTTATCAGTTGCACATTTTTCCACGTCGATTACGTCCTCCAACGAAGGTTTAGGTTTGTTTGACTTATAATACTTAAAGGACTTCATAAACTTATCTTCTACGGACAATAAATTCTGTTTTTCTTGCATTTTTTCAGTAATAAAACATATTTTTTAAAATAAATACAATCACATGTTTGACATCATTGTTTTGATTGAAACTTTGAAGTTCGAATGAATTTGTCATGTCAACATTGTAAACTTCGTCAACAGTCAACACATGTGATGAGTTTAGAAATAGAAGGGAATAAAAGATTTACTTGTACAAAAAAAATATACAATACCGATAAGTTACTGATTAATATAAAAACGGAGGATTTTAACGAATTTAAGTTAAAGAAATCAATAGTTGAAAAATTAAGGTTAATAAAAATGTCTTTCGTTTGGATTCCTCTCAGGACTATTACCCAAATGTCAATGTCATTGTCAAATCATTTATTTACCCAAAATACTGGAACTGGAACTGGATTTGTAATTGTGGAAAGGGAAACACTGGCATCCTGGTGTTTATAAAATAGTACATTAATAAATTCAACATTTCAAGAAACACTCTCGCAATACGTATAGAATCATAATGAGTAATACTGTTTCAGAGCAACTCACAGATGCCATCAAGGTAATATGAATCCCAGCATCTCCCTACCTATATCTTTTGCTGAAACATTAGCAACATGTAGACAACTTAAATTCCATATTTTGTGGACGTTCGTCTCGATAAACAAGAGATTCCAAAGAGTTAACGTCTACAAAACAGTACATTATTTTTGGTCAGTCAGTATCCTTAAAGACTTAAAATCTGTACTTTTAAATCTGTTAACTACCATCCCTTGGAAGTTTCTTGACTCATGTTGAAACTAATGAATGTATTAATTTATTCCAGAATACTGAAGATGGAAAAGCTAAATTGAGAAAATGGCTAAACATGAACTTCAGAATAGAAATGACAGATGGTAGAGTGCTTATTGGAGTATTTCTATGTACTGATCGAGATGCCAATGTTATATTAGGTAAGCAATAAATTTTGATATATTATATTATATGTATACTTTAAAGTAGTTTTAGAAGTCATTTTATCCAAAATCTGTAGTTCATTTACTAGTAAAATATGGTATTTATCCAGTTATTCATATTTTCTAGGAGCATGTTCAGAGTATCTTAAAAGCGGTGATGGTGAAACAGAAGAACCAAGAGTACTTGGTCTAGTGATGGTCCCAGGTCGTCACATTGTTTCCATTCAGTTGGACGATACTACACCACCACAAATGTACTGTTACGATGAGTGATTCCTCACCAATGTCCTTGGTTTTGTAATTAAATATCCATTTTTAGTAATATCTCTTATTAGTTTGACATTGTGTATAATATTTATACTTTCTACTTATTAAGTTTTGATAAGAAATAAAACAATTTATAAGTGTTTTAAGATTAAAAATGTATTTATTAATTAAGGAGTTTTCAAGTTTTTAATAAGCTGTTTGAGTACATCAGGTTCAAGGTAAATATTTTTGGAATCATTAGCAAAAGGATTATATTCATCAATGTTGTGGTTGGATTGTAATATATTAGAAAGTTCTTTCACAAGTTCATTCATTGAATGTTGAGATCCATTTAGTTTGTTGTACAAAAATTGTCTATTAAGTATATTATTTAAGCAAATATATGGTTGAATAACTCTTTCTTGTTTACTTAATTTACAATAATATAATACACTTTTGTTTCGAACATCCTCATCTTCATCCTGTAGAAGCATTATTGCACATTTAATTGTAATGACTTTCACTGAATCTGGCAAGTTATCAAATTCATTAGCTAGTTCATTGTTAGCTATAGCTGCAATATATCTCATATCAACATCCGATATTTCAAAATTACTTAATTTTCTAATGATCTGCACCAAAGACAGCTGGCCGTCTTTCTGCAGGTACATAATATTTCTGGCCATCAATGGAATCATAAATCTTATAATGTACACCGATTGCCTTTCCTCTACAACTTTCAAAAGTTTGGCTATATCTAAATGATTTGATAAATCAGTTTGTAAAGATATATCATAAATTATTTTCCATGTAATGCTACTGTAATATTTCTTCTCAAATGATAGCAAAATATCAACTATATTTAATAAATGATCTGTGTCTGAGCATTTTTGCTCCTTAACTTTGATGAGAATAAATTCACAATACTTTTCGTAATTACTTAATTTCAATATGATTTGTAACAGATTTGGTATTTCATTCCATTCAGATAACTTTATATATTTCTTCATTCGAGCTTCTGCCCACAGGTCAACACCAGGCAAGTGCACTGAGCTAATAATTTCCAAAATCGTTGCTGCCATATCTTCTAATATGTAACTGTTTATGAAAATATCTTCGAACAATGTTTTGCTTAGATATGAATGGTTACCACTAGAAAATATTTTCTCAAATCTATGCTTGAGCTGCTTAAATTCTTCTTTATATGCTTCATTCAATACATAATATTTTTGACATAAGCTTAACAAAATTAAACTTCCATGCAGATCATTCTCTGCTAAAAAAACATGATTTAGTAGAACACTACAGATTTTTTGTACATCATAGATGTTAAATATGCATTTAGCTGTTAATCGCCTGACTGTATGTATGGGACTGTTGAGGAGTAATAGCAAACATTTTAACAAATCCTCATCAGCAGTTTCCTGATTTTGCATATCAAAAGAAAAGTTGTATCGCTTTGCACTATTTGCCAATAGATTCAGAATTGGTACTAAGTTTGAGTGTGACTGTACCATATCTGGTTGGTTGCTTAGCTTTAACTGTTGCATTATGTATTTCCATAGCTTTGGTGAATGAGTTCGGAGCTCATCGCATGCGACAGTCGCTGTAGTTTGCTCATCACTACCTGAAGCTTTCTTCTCACCAATTTGCTTTGGAATCAAGGCTCCATACAACTGAAGAGCTGCATTCCTGAAATTTTAAAATGTAAGTTAGTGCACTATGGTATGAAATTGTAGTTAGACTAGTAGTATTAAGATTACCTGATTTGCCAATGTGCACTAGTAAGATTACCAAAAGCAAGCTCGGCTAATTTAGCAAAATAAAACATCATGTCTGAAGCCAAACCGCTGTCAGTGACGATTCTTGTTAAGAAATGTATGTAGATTGCTTTTGGTAGATCAATTTGATTTTCATCATTTCTTTTAGGAGTATCCTTTGTCGAATTACAGATATCCAACAAAGTATTAATGAAGTAGTGGAATAATGGCTGAAAACAATAATATTTTTTTGTAATAGCAAGTTTTTAAAAACAAGATTTGTGTACATATAGATAGAATTTCGTACTTTCCCCTTCTTCATATCACTTGATACAATTCTGTGCACCATTATAGACAGACCTGCACCTCTTCTCGTTATAGATGCCATTTTATTTGTTTCTGATATTAAGTCATTCAGTTTACATTTAAGTAGAGTGTTAGGTACTTCTGAAGCTTTATATTCTTCTGGCAATGAAGTTAAGAATTGAATGCCCTTTCCTATAATAAGAGACAAAAAATTAAAATTAAAGAATGTCCTTCAAACTAAGAGAAAACCGTCGCTAAGCTTTTTACCTAAGGAAGCTCCAGCGGCTTCTATGGCTCCTTTGTGTCGAGATGTCTCCAACACATGAGTTATGATGTTAAGACACTTCTCTGCCATAACGTCATTATCCACATTCAGTTGTACTAATAGCGACGATAGGTCACATGATGCCTACAAGAAAATCACTTTTGTTATTATGAAATCTTGCACTTATTGAACTGTGTGTTTGAAAATGATAATGTACCTTAACATTCAGCCATAGAGAATTCAACACAATTTGATGAAAACCTGATATTTTTGTTTCATCAATCTCATCACTGACTGTCAAGCCAGAGTTATCAATAATATTCTCTACCATATCACTCATTTTTGAAAAATCTGAACTTGTTGAACTGTCTTCTTCCCAAGCAAATTGATTAGAAATACTTTCCAAAACCTCGACAAACTCAGACATAACACCATTAATATCAATTTTGTATGAATTTGCTATACATGTTTCCAGTACAACTAATAAAATGTTCATAAAGGAATGTAACTGTTTCCCCATTTCAATTGATTTCATTATATTAGTTTTTGCTTTATGTTCACTTATTAATTCATTGTACGCAAAATAAAATATGTCTTCTACATTCTTGTACTGCCCTATGGAATGTTTGTGTTTAATTACTAAATTAGTTATTAATTTGAACATGCTCTGGCCACAGCTGATTTCATAAAAGAATTTGCTTCTCATGCTCTTTAGAGCACCATTTACTAAATGTTGGTTTATGTTTGGGTTCTTTAACTCCTCAGAGTAATGGTTCAGTAGTAACTTTACCACATTCTCCCTCACATCATCTGTAGGGTCTTTTAACAAACTGATAAGCTTTAAAACAAAATCGTCAGTGGACAGAACCCAACATTCTTTTTCTTTCACATACTCAATCAATGTCATGTTCATATTTCTTATCTGACCTCTTCTCTTATTAGGAATTTCACTAAAACAACTTATTATTGTACTACAAAGTTTCACACATGTAATCTTTCTCTGATAGTTGCCATTTAAATTGATTGAAGTGATGACAGAATTCTGTAATTTAGTACAAAATTCCAATAGTATTCTTCTGTTTTGCAAAGATTCATTACTTTCGTCTTTGATCATGACATTTAAAAATGTAGAATGCAGTTGTGTTAAAAATATATTAAGACTATTCAACATACTCAACCTTAACACAGTGCAATCTGAATTTATATTATTGTGTATGAATTCTAATATTAAATCATATTCTAATTGACTTGGAGCTACCTTCCCTTGTGATACACAGACTATATCAAAAGCTAGTGTTCTTATGTAAGCGTTACAATGATCTAAACCTATCAATACAGTTTTTTCAATGTGATCAAAATCTTCAGGAGATTTCCAATTCTTTTCAAGCAAACCTTTTCTATTGGCTTGTTTCATTATACATAGTTGACTGCACAGATTCTGCTCAGTCTTATCATGATTCCTCAACTCTTCAAGCAATATGTGGTGTAAATTTGGAAACTTCTTCATGGTTATCAAACACCAGAAATTATGGAAATTCTCAATTGCTTTGCCGCTAGATCCAATTAGAATTTTGATGACATCATTTAGAAATACTGTACACCAATCTTTTTCGAAATCGATTTGTTTTAGCAATGCATAGTACATGTCAGCTCCAGCAGACACTAGCCCTGGTTTGTGTAAACTGTATGTGAGACCATCAACCCACTTATTTTCATTTAACAAAGAAAGGGATTTAGCATTTTTGTATTCAATGACCTCTGAAAGCATTAAATACTTTGCTTTGTTCCAGTAGAATGAATTGATTTCTTGCATCACTGTTTGGTACATTTCATCATCTAGTGTTGTTAATAATGTTTGGAACACAGATCTATTCAAATCTCTTATTCCAGTTACAGGATTCTCCCAATTATGATTGATAAAGTTAAGTAACTTGATTTGACGTTCTTTGCTAAAGATGCATTCTTGAAAATCAGTGCCCAGGACTTTTTTGAATAACTTCATGGTCTTAAATGAAATGAATGTATACTGTGAATATTCATATCCCATAAGAAGAAGTAAATCAAATACTGGTTTCAAAACTGATTTAATGACATCACTGTGAGTTTTCTGAATTAGAAAAGTTGATTGAAATATTCCATACATCATTGACACCACATTATATGTTTTGGAAGAGCTTTCTTCTTTATTTTTATTGGATAATTCCTCTTCAATCATATGCAATAATTCTGTTAAATAGGTATCCTGTTTTTCTGTGCATGGTAACACTGTATAGAAACATGTAGCACACAGTAACTGATCGTCAAATGTTTTAAATCCTATTTGTAAATGTGACCACAGATTGTCTGCAACCTGATTCCAAAACTCCTCATTGTAGCCAGAGGATTCTTTTGACAGCTTCAACAAATCCTGGAAATAGATTTAACTTGTTGAGTACTGTCATTATAGACACAATTAACTCGTCGAGTACCGTCATTATAGACACAATTATAAAACAATAGGTTGCGGTCACCGGTGACCGCTTGGTGTTTGACAGTTTAAAGAACAATAGGTTGCGGTCACCGGTAACCGGTTGACAGTATAACTCGTCGAGTACCAGTTTTGTAGACACAATTATAGAACAATAGGTTGCGGTCACCGGTGACCGCTTGGTGTTTGACAGTTTAATAGCTAGTATTAACTTGGTCTTATTCAGAGGTAGGTATAACCTACCTTCAAGTTAATATATCATGAAAAATTGAAGATTCAACAATATTTATTTTTTAAGTTCTATACCTGAATGGACTTTATCTTCAATTCACTTGTAGGAATACTGATTTCTTCTAAAACTTTGTTATTTCTTTCCATTGTTGTCTGAAATATTAAACTTAATGTTTAATCGAGTCGAATAAACACTTTATACAAGATAAAATTATAAATGCAAACTTTACCTACTTTGTTCTGATCTTTAATAGAATATAACAAATAAAAGACTCAAAAATATTGATAAAACATAATTTACTACAATGTCTATATTTACAATATCAAATCAAATTAATTATAATTCATATAACTATGATTCCTTAATGGGTTCATAGCCTTCTTTCTGGATTTTCTCTTTATACATGTTAAAGTCTCTTTTTCTATCGAAATGCGAGACCCACTGAGTAGGACAAGACTTTTCAAACATTTTCCTTAAATCCAAGCATGCCTTTGGTTTCTCGGAGCTATCTTTAACATTTTCTTTATCTAGGCATTCCCAGTAACGATCTCTGGAGTCCCAACATGTTTTCCGCTGCTCTCTATCGGGAAACGACATTTTTCACCGTGTTTGAACACCTACAATATAAATTCTTGTCTTAAAATCTGCGCCGCTAATATGAATTACCGATTATAGAGAAAGTCGTGAAAAATTATAAGGAAACTCACGCACGAGCACTCCAGAAATTATTACTTGAAATAATAACTGTAGTAATTTTTATTTACCACAATTTTTATCAGAAGATATTATAGTTTTCTTTACACCAGCCCAGCATAACCTAAAATCTCACTGAAGTACACTAGATTATTGACACTGACAGGTGTCATTTACTAGATGTCATCCGTAGGAATTACGTTTCTTTACACGATCGTTAAATGAATTACATAAAGAAATCCTACCCAAACTTAACAGTCTTGTAAATTTTTTTCTTAGTAAAAGGCGCTGCCCTTCGCTTTGATTGTGATCCTGTGTGCGTTTATTAATGTACCAGTATAACCAGGCTTAAAGCAAGAATTAGGTATTATTCAAACGAAATTGAAAGTGTTCTATGCAGAGATCGAACCTGCGACTCGTTACTTTACAAAAGTATATAACTATCAATAAGTTCATTGACTTCCAGTTACTAGACCTCCTGGTAGGTATAGGCAATGGCAAAAAATAATAGGCTATGGGAAAAAAATTATTCCTTTATTCCTTCAATTAAATTTTGGACGTCATGCAATTTATTTATAGTAAAGAAATGGTAGTGAGTAATGTTGCAAATAGAATTCAGTTGTTTTATTAACTGCTTGATAATGTCAGTGCAAGGTCTATTCATTTTCTCATTATCACCGACAGCTTTCAATAAATCCTCAGATACTTTTATCTTACACATGTTTATGAAGCCATCTAATTGTTTGGGCGTTTCAAAGGAAAACACTCCGGGTATGAGCGGAACGTGGACTCCCATTTTCTCACAACTATCTTTCAAATTTTTAAATGCATCAACATCGAAGAATGCTTGTGTAAGAAGAAAATTGGCTCCAGCATCAACTTTTTCTTTGATCTGCTTAAGCTTTTCATCAGAACAGCCAGGGTATCCCGCAATTCCAATACAGAAATATTGTCCTGTTTTCTCCCTGATGAATTTTATCATTTCTGTTGTGTTGACGAAATCGGAATTACTTGGATCAAATCCTTCTGTAATGAAACGAGTTTCGTAATTTAGTTCTCGATATACTTAATCAATTTCTTGAAAATGCAATACAAAAATCAACAAAACAATATTTTCCTATCTGTCAGTGTCACCACAAATTTACGACATCGACCTATCACTTTATTGCATAAAATAGGTATCGACAGGCGTATCTAACTGTATTATTACCTACCTATACAATGGATATATTTTTACTTCAGCTCTGACGCTATAAATGATTTTCCCTTTACTTCTAAGTATTTATCTACACAACATTATCCGTGTAGACAAATATTAAAAGTCTGCAGCTGTTTAATACTTCCCTCTCTATTAATTACTGGTAGATTTAAAACCAACTTACCTCCCAAAACCAAGAATAAATTGCATATTCCATTTTCTTGCAGCATAGCCAGGAGATCAGTTAAATAAGTAGTCTTCATCATATCACATGATAAGTGCAGGAGTACATTTTTCTGTTTACTACTCAATTTCAATGCAATTTTTAACGGGGCTATGTTCAAGTCTTTGCATTGATGCGTTTTTGCATGCCAAGTAACGGAGAAGAATAGAGGCTCCACTCTTAAATTATCAATATCTTCTTCAGAAACATCCGGAGTCACTTCAAATGAATAACTGAAGTTGCCTTTATTTTGTATTAATTCAGTCAGTTTGCTTGTTCCTGCCATTTTGGATAATTTTGTCTAAAACCAATTTAATAAAATTGTCCTCCAAATAGATTAGAACTTTTCAGTATCGTCTGTCACTTGACACCGATTTGTTTTTGTTTAGAAAAAAACTTCGTACTTACTTACAGCATAGATACAATCAGTCACGGTCACAACCTATTTTAACGATAAATCGGATCAATACTAAAGAGTACCTATACTTTCTTCAGAGAGGTCAGTACAACACCGAGTACTCAAGCGCACTGAACAAGTGAATGACCGTAAAAGGTCTACGATACCTCAGCGATAGGTGCGTCTGAGTTGCGTGCGATAAGAAAGACTTATACTTATACATTTTTATACTAATACGTGATAGATAAAGCAGCTAGTTAGTTACTGATGTTTTTATTGATAGCTTATAGCATAACAATGTGATACCAATTTGGAAATCGCATCACATTCAATAATTTCTTTCTGTAGTTGTATTTTAAGATCTTTAGAATGTTGTTCAACTCACTTGTGGAGGTCGAATTCCAGACGTTTGTTTTGGAATAATATAATTTTTTGTTTTTAATTAAAAATCAACTTCTGCAATACAGCATATAGATTCCTATATAGCGATAAATAAAATATGAAGAAAGAAAGAAAGAAAAAACATTTATTTGACAATTGACACACACGATTATAAATAATAAAAATACAGATATATAAACAAAATACTAATAATAAACTTAAAAGAATAGACATCAGAACAAAAAAACAGTGTAGTAACAAAATAATAAAACAATGAAACAGAATTTGGAATATACAAAAAAAAAGAAAAAAATAATAAAATCAATTTGCGCGTGCTCATGCCAAAAGGCCCTCCGCCTCAGCATATAGTTGGACGTTTCTGCCCAACGCTGATTTTCAGGTGGCACCCTGCAGTGACTCACGGACGGCGGTACCGCTCCTCAATAGGAACAGAAAATGAACATGAAATTATATAAATTTTGTAACTTAAACTTGTAGTCAATTAATAATCCATCAATGCATCTTCTTAACAACTCTTCGAGAAGGTTTGCAGCTGCTAGAGGTACCTAGGATATAGAAGGCAGAACATCCGGGTGAAATAAAACACACTTATATTATTTAGGTATTGTATTATGTGTATGATGACTGCTCTATACATTGATTAACAATCAGCCATATACTTTATCACAACCCAAAAGGTACAATCAACGAAAAAACTGTATACTCGTATATAGGTAACGTCACTACAAAAAACTTCCAATGAAACTGTTAAGCCGTAACATGTCGTAATTGGTAATACTCATTCAATACTTAAACATATTGCTGTCACCTGCATCTTCTACATCCTCCTTTATATAAAACTGTCTACTTATCTAAAGACCTAAGATTAATTAGGTATTAATTGCGAATAACATGAAGTCTGCTCGATAATGTCAGAATATGATACAAGTGGCAATATTCTAATTGTGTAAAAGCCTCCAAACACCTATTCTACAATCTTCTACATTATTAATGACTTACTGAAATCTAGTTTCATTGTAATAATAACATATTTCTTACGTATGTAAGTTATTGTTACGGTTCGGTAAAGCTTCACAATGACCAGTGTGGTACTGATCATAAATGGGATTTTGATGGCGATTCGTTTGTTTTATCTACTCAGTAGATAATAAATGGACAATAATAGCAATTGTAAAATGCGTCGTTACAATGCAGGTGTTATGAGACTCGATTATGTTATGATAGATATAAAAGCCACAACTTGCTATCCTATCATGACTTTCAAAATTACTTGCACCTATTCATATACATACTAATTGTAATATATAATCAATGTATTGTATTATTTCAGATCAGTTATGTTTGATTGTTTGGCTACATATGTAAAACAGCCAATAAGTCCTGATTTAACTACGCTAATTATTAATAATAGTGCCGTGACGCTTGCTAAAAAACTGTGATATGTCCTAACTTCAATCGTCACAAACACGCTTCGCGAGTAAAAAACTGTGATCTTACGAATTTAATTGCCTGTTTAAAACTAAAAAAAATCTTCGACTTTCGGATGGTATTCTGTGACAATACATCGTTCTGAATTGACACTGAATTCAGTCTTGTATTCGAAGTTAATTAGAGGTAGTTTATTTACAAGGAATATTGATGTTAAACGCAAGATCGTCGGTTGGAAAAGAAATACAGTTTGAAACAAATCACGATAAAGTACAATTGAATATTACGAACATATTAGGTATTTCCTATAATACAAGTAGAGTCTAATATTTGTAATCACTGGCTCAGTTGGATATTTTTATTCAGCTACATGTCTCAATCCATTTCCCTCTAAATTCAAATCGAACCTTTATTTGGGTGCCATCTATTAAGTAGAAATAGTAATTAAGTAATTAGTAATAAGGATAGGAAACCCTACAAGTTATACATTAGGCTTTAGTAATATCAGTTCTTCTACAATTGAAATAAAGTGTTACCTGTTTAATCTTCTACGACGTACACAACTATTCTTACGCTAAGATTTAGAAGACATGCAAGTTTCAAAGCTACCAGTAAACTTCGGACATGGTCCTAAGTCCATAGAAAAGGACAGGACACAAGCTACATGGGTGGACTCAATTCTACATAATAGTAAGTGTAGTAAATTTAAACCTGGCGACAGATCTCTTCTATTTGCATATATGGGATCTTCACAAGCTGATAATACAAATTAGTAGCCGTTTCATGAAACATTAGAAGGACACGGCCAACGTAGAAAACACGTTTAAATTCGAATGCATATAAATACATCTAAGAGATATAAAAGTAAATTCATTTGAAAAATAGATTGCACAGGTTGGTACCTACATGCTTTTTAAATTTTATTGTCCAAGCAATCGTAACGAATTCAAGAAGAGTTTAGTATAAATTCATAAGATATTTTCAAAGTTGCTTAGAAAATTAAACGCATCCATGTAACAACTTAACCTATGGATATTGTCGCATTATTTATCACTAAATTAATTTAGTATCCACTGGGATCTCCACGAATATATTGACTAACATAGTGCATAGTTAATACTAACAAACTTTATAGGTGTTACAAGTATTTTAACGACCTATAACAATCGCATTATATTATAAAAGAACTAAATAATCGTAGTGTTGTCAAGCGTATCGGATAATGGCCGTATTGTGTCGTTGATGAGGGATTTGACCTGGTGGACTGTGAATAAATGGTTTATAGAAGCCATGGTTACGCCCTGAATAATTTAATTTAGGTAATATAGAATCCTTTTCAAATAAGAGAAGCAGACCATGAACAACTTTTGTACCAATTAAATAGGCATACATAAAATCTTCCGCTCATTTTCCTCGACAAAAGCACACGATCCACAAATTATTTACTAAAGACCCTTTTTCGACACAATCCAACCATTTATTTAGTAAATATTAACAACTTTCAACGATCCTTAATATTAGAATAATTATATGGACTCCATTTGTTCCGTGAGCTCCAAAATAGGGCTCTCGCTGAGAGGTAGCATACCAGCTGTAGGTGGTAGGCTGTGACCTTGCCAATTAGACTGGAACAAAAATGTATTAATTGAGCTGGAACTGTAAGCCCAGTATTGTCTATCACGGTGCTCATTCGGTGGGTACCTGGGGGACATGTTTAATATCCATCCTACAGACTTTGTTTAACATACCTAGTTATTACTAGACTGGCAAAAATTTTAGGTCTTTCGGTTTCGATATTCGAGTAATTATTAGAATCACAAAATCGGGACTTATATCGCAGTCTTCGGCAAAGAGATAGTCCCCCTAGGCGCTAGCAAAATCGTAGATAAATAGTGAGAATTATCAACCGTTCAAAAGCAAATGAATTATTATGCATCGCATTAAATGCGATGTTTTCTTGTTTTTAAGGATTGTCGATAAAGGCATTATCTCGTACCTCTTTATTGGTACAATATAATATTAAATCGTTAATGCTATTTACCTGTTAGTAATCCTTTAATGAATGAATTTATTATAGGGCGATACTCTCGTCACTTTCCTAATAATATTATCAAAGTACCCTCAGCAGACGGCACCAGTTGTATCAACTGAGGTTTATTTATTTTGAAACTAATAAAATTATTCATGATCCTTGGTAGGATTGTCACAGTTTGAACCATTAGCTTTTTGGTATGACACATACAATATTTACTATTCAAGCATGAAAAATAAATAATGCATCTAATTCAAACGTGCATAGCAATTGTGTCAACTACAAAAAAGCTATTTGCCAAAAATAATAAGGTGTAAAAATAAAACTATTATTATAAGTTTACAATAACTTGTATTTAAATAAAACTTGCCTCTAAGTAAAGCTATCACATCTTACATAAATTATTATATATTTAGCAAATAATAACAAAAACTATACAGACTTTCACAAAGAAAAAGTACAGACTCATAATGTTTAACTTATAATATCTATAATAAATAGATACTTATATCTAATAAAATTAATGTACCATGGAGAAATTAACGAACAAATATGTAGGAACATTCTCATGTGATGTAGAACAAATGGGCAAAATGCAAGACATTCAACTTCAATGAATTAATACAATACTTGGCAAGTCATAATATATGGAATAGCTAGGTTTAGTACAAACTTATACATTACTATTTAGTGATGATATTTGCTTTATTTATCAACAAACAACAGGAATGAATACTTTGTAACAAGGTCTTGTATACTTTATTTAAATGTATTTGGTATAATTATCAAATATTGAGTGCATCTATTAAATCGATACAATGCATATTATGCTAAGAATACATGACTATTTATTGGGGTTTATATTTAATATAAAGGTACTTAACGGCAGTTTGGATTATAATATTGCAGTGAACCATTGATCTACTGGTGTAATATATAATTTAAAGCACTAGTTATTGTCATGCACTCTAAATATACACAATATATTTGTGATATTACAATTGTCTACGCACTTACATACACAGTACGATGCTTTACGAATATAAACCATAATGAGACCATTCTTTCATCTAGCAACAACAGACGTGGAGACCGAAAGCGATCGGACACCACGGCCAATGAAACGTAATCACACTACAACTCTACGTGACTACTGTTTTACGTGGAGTGCTACTAATTGATCTGTTGGAATACCTGGAAGCAGGGCTGCGGCTGGAACAGCGCGGTGTTCCAGTGGCCCGGCCACAGCGGGGCGTCGTGCGACGCATGCGCCGTCGCCTCGGGCTCGGGGTCGCGCGTCTCGCGCCGCCCCGCCAGCTCCGAGATCTGACATGCACTCTGCAGGCTCGACGGCAAGTTTGACCAGTTCTCATTACCCAACCGCTCCTTATTCAATATGCTTATTTCCATAGAGCCCTGATATGCGAATTTCGCCTCATCTTGGCCTTCTTCCGGCTTATGCTTCGGTGTTCTGTTTGGACCTTCCACTATTGCTTGAAAAGCTAGCAAGTCACGGTTTTCAGTTTCGGTGAGTGGCAAGGGAGGTAAGATTTGTTGTTGCTGAGCTATTTTGTAACTTTGTTGCCGTAACATTTGTCGCCTACTGAGTCCCACTTGCAGGGTGTGAATACCCATTTCGTGAGTAGGGACATTTGGAGGAGTCATCTGTTTCTGAAGTAGCTGTCGCTTTTGTTGAAACAGTCTGTGTTGCATGAGCTGTTGCTGCAACGGCGGTTTGACTTGAGAAGCTGCATGTTGCAGCTCGGTCTGGTCCTGCAGTTGTGACACTAGTTTAGGACTCGCAGGCATCGGTGGAGACGTACTTGAGTAGTTAAACGTTTCGGGAAGACTGATACGTTTTGGAGTGGGATTTTTCGTATCCAAGTAATGTGGACTAAAACTGGCTGCGAACTGGTTATGTTGAATTTGTCTCTGTGTCATTTCTTCTGCAGGTATTGTCGATTGATACTGAGTTTTTAATTTCTGCGCCTCTTTTTGCACTAGATGTAGTTCCAAAACCCCCTTCGCTTTACAATTCTCATTTAAGCGTTGGCTGTTAAAAGCCAAACTGTTTTTTTGTGATTCATTGGACTGTGCAGCTTGTTGTGCTACAAGGCCGTCACTAGCGCGTCGCCCTTCCCGAAAATCAACCGGACTCCGCGTGATTGCCCGAGGACAATTCTTGTTATTGACAGACTGGTAATTCAATGGATTGTGTCTAGCGATGAATCCCACGCCTGGAGTTTTATTGTTGTAAGACGATATGTAAACGCATGGATGCATTGGGCTTGTATTTACGAGTGAATTATTATCGTAGGCTAATTTTTCTTCATTAGAGGTGCAACTCGGAAGACTACTAGCTAACTCACTAGAACAGTCAGACAGTTGATAGTCTAGGCTTTCGAATGTAGAAAAATTACTTTGTGATGAATCGCAACTTAGATTTTGACTAAGACTTTTGTTATTGAAAAAAGTGACAACACCACTGCTGGAACTTGAACTAGCGTAAGAACTTAGTCTGTTTTGAACTCCGCCTGATGCGTTCGCGACATCCTCCATATCGGTTTCGCAACCTTCGTCGGTCGACGAAGAATACTGTTGTTGAAATTTTGTCGCCTCTGTTGTATTGCTACTGCCTTGAAGATTTTGGGAATACGTTTGACCCGTAGTATATCTGTTGAGTGAAAATTTGCTATCTGGTCTATACAGTCCACTCGGAAATAAATCACCGGTGGCTGTAGAAGTAATAGAAAAATTTGCATCTGCAGCACTAGACATCGGTGGCAAGACAGAATTTTGTAAATACGCATAAGCTGGGAGATGGTGATTCATGTAATCCTTAAAAGGTGGCGTACTAGTTTGGAGACGATTGAGATCTTGTTGTTGTGCTTGTGATACAAGTCTTGTGGATTCAAGTGGCTTTGGTTGTTCTAATACACTACTTAGTTTAGACTCTCCAAGCTGTGTTGGGATAGGACTTGTGCTCAAGTTGACCGTTCCCTTCAAAGGCAATGGTGACTGTTGTAAAGTATTCATAAGTTTAGCTGCTTCAGAACACATTGTAAATGTTGTTGAGTTAGGTAATTTCATAGTATCAACACTGAAATTAGTCGCCGAAGCAGAATTTTGTAAAAAATTCGCTATAGCGTTGTGATCAGTCGTTGAGGAACTTCTTCCACCGTCAATAGCACACTTGGAATCGAAACTTGAAGAAGTAAGCAGTCTGGTACCATCAATGGTATTTTTACTAGATTCAGACCCCACAGTCGTTGACTGCTGCAGTAGCCGTCGGCAGTCTTCACTGGATTGTTTCAAAATATTTTGTTGCTGTTCATAAGTTGAGGTGAGGAGCCTATGTGTTGGTAAAGAGGGCTCATTTACTTTAGCACCTAACCTTTGGTTTGATTGAGATACATCAATATTTCTCATGGAAAGTAGTCTAGTGGATTCTGACTCATGGCTTCTGGAAATAGCATCAAGGTTGCCGACTAAAAAGCTCCGATGCGTATCCGAGGGATCGGAATTTCGCTGGAGCAGTCGTTGTTCGGTCATGTTGACGGCTGCTAGGGACAACAATCTCTGTGTCTCGGCAGACGACGAGTCCACCGGTGCACTGGATATTGTCGGAGTGGCTCTGTTGTACTCCCGTGACTGAGAATCGCCAGCGTGAAGTAACCTGAAATAATATATTATTTTTATTATTACATTGTACTTGTAGTTTTAGACATTGACTACGTAATTAGCTGACATATTTGAACAGCTTGAATTTGTAATAACAGTTGGCGCTATAGACTCTTACCATCATTTTGTGATATAAACCTCGAAAAAAACCTAACTTTCTTTAATAAACATAGAATGAACACCTACCTTGTGTGATGTTCCCGTCTAGCCTCATGAGCCTCTTTGGCTAATGCTTGATCAGCCACAGAAGATGGTCGTCGTGAGGGTCTGGTACGGGCTTCTACGTTAGACATACTAGCTCCACTGGCCGCCCTCGCACGCAACCTTTCTAATAAAAGAAGGTATATCGCCGCATGATGATCATAGCTGTTGGATCTGAGGCTCTGTAAATGAGAAATTGAGATTTTTAACATAAACGCGAACACTAGACTTTTGTGCATATTCATATTTCAATTCTGTACTTCACTACTTTATAACTTTGTAATTCACTCAAGGTACCTCTTTAGTTTTGATTGGGTCGATTCCTAAACTTTGCATGAGCCTCAGCACTTGTTCGTTTGGTTCATTGTGGGACGGTGCGTGCGCAGGACTTCGTGCAGGGTCAGCTGATATCGTTGGCACTGCGTACGGTTCTGCTGCCATCCACCGATGCTTCTTGATTTGTTCTATGGTGTACCTCTTCATCGGCTCCAAGACAAGCATTTTGCGGATCAGAGACTCGCAATCTGGAAAAAACGATTGAGCTGTTTTAATACTTAATTTACATTAAATCAACACCTTAAACATTTATGACCTTATAGATAATTTTTCCAATATGTAATGAAAGAAACAGTAGCTTATCCAAGTGATTTTTCAAAAGAAGATGTGTATTGACGTCGCCGCTAGATAATTCATATTCATAACCTTTGACGCTATCCAAGTCTGGTCATTGTTTTATATTACGTAGATACAGCCATTAGTGCAATGTGTTTCTCATAAAACAATTGACGTGCGACAGACTACAAGATATATTATGTTGATGGATATATGAGTTAATGACGTAGCAGTAATCGGTCCAGACCGCGTTAAGAGGTAACAAAACGTTTAGAATGTTTGGCTCTTTGTCAATTACGTACTGCAGAGTTCAAGTTTTTATCAGCAACGGTCATTAACCTGAATAACAGCAATCAGAACACGGTAAGACAGGCGACACGTGATTTATATAAAATAACTATGATTAACATGTCCTGTAAGGGTTTTGTATGTAATTAGTGTCAGCTTATTGTTATTGGTTGTTTGTTTTTCTGAATTCCATTATTAATCTTGAAGAGCGTTTATAAATTATCGTTTTACGTTTTTATATTCATAGTCAGGTACTTCCTACACATATTTACAAGATAATTTACAAGTAATTTAGTGTATATTATTTTATCAGTGCACGTGGTTAGGACATATTTAATGCCGATGACGTCTTTCCTAAATATTTCTTTACTTTATCTACGATACTCAGAATAAATAGTACCACTTAAAGATCTCATTAAGTACTATACAATAACGTCTAATCAAAGCTCTATAGTTAATCCTCTCCTCTGACGTCATAAACTGAGTAGTAGGTAGCTTGGCAAGGTGCTCGCAAAACTCCCAAAGGTCACAGGCCGGGTGACTTGGTAACGTTGATGACGTCATAGCTCTGTAGCCGAGCAAATACGGTCGTTGCGCCAAATGACGGTCACATCCGTTGCAAAATGTACGAAGTGTACGAACCCCTAACACCTATGTAGCCTGCTCTTTAGGTACCGAAGTAGGTAATTCTCAACATAGTAGGAGACGTGAGATAACATTATTATGCTCCACTATATTATGTATACGCTAACCATTTCATCTTTTTTTCGACATGTGACATTGCGTCCTAAAATAACACTGGATAAAGTTAGGGTGTACAAAAATAAACGTCGAAATGTCCCCTACAGGTTAAAAGGGAATAGACTCGTGACCAGGTGACCTTGTTACGCCTATTTCATTGAAAGACTCTTAATCTATGTATCTAACTATCGCTAATTCAGTTACAAAGGCTAGTTTTGCGTCACATGGAGTAATGACATCAACACTGCGATCAAAGTACATAAGCCGGATCACTGCGATCCGATGACTTAGCACTCGCCGTACAATAATAATTACATTATATCGTAGATAGAGCTTTACCTGACCATGTTTTTGTGACGTTTACGTCATGCTCATGCAAGGATTACAATTGGAAATCTAGTCGTTAAACTGTTTAGTCCAAAATCCAACAGCTTTGGTTTTCCTCATAGTTTTTGCTCGATTTTTTATACCATATTGACAATTAAGTTCATTACGAATATTATTTCATTCTTCTCTAAGAATTTAAGAATCAGTTCTTAGCAAAGGATTGTATGTAGGTACCTAAGCAAATTTTTATGTCATTAATTTGGAGTTATATTTAATTTAGTATATTTAACTTACACAAGGTAAGTTACAAATATTAGAAACATGCGTACCTAAACTACTGGGTGAAATACAAGTAAATAGTCACAGTAGTTCCCCTATATGCTAACTTGGGAAAATGTATAGCATTTTCCCAAGTTAGCATACTTAATATAAGAATAACATATTCCTATAGCTAATAATAAACAAGATTCATCAAAAATACCTAGTGTCCTGTCTACAGGAAGCAACTTACATTGCTATTATTAAACTGATTTGCACCGAGTTGTTATAAATTTTCCTGTATATAATTTTAATTAATTACTTAACAGAGGTCCCAATAAGTCTTACATGTGTTTACACGATTACACTAACCTAACTGCGTAATCCAATTAAAAGCCTTTTATAAATAACAATTTCAGCTTCTATCATTTCCACGATTGTCCACCTAAGGATATTTTCTCGTATAAATAATAAAAAGTTTATCAAAGTTAAGAATTATTGTGATACTGTCACTGAAAATACATATTACAATAATAAATGTGACGTATTTGTACAGGTAAGAATCGAATATTTAGGTACTATCGTAGATTTTAGATAAAATACCCATTTAGAAATTGTTGTCCTTTCGAATACATTTAGGTCATGCGTCATTCCATCAAAAATACGAGTAATTACTTTCATGTGCCGAAAGAGAATGACGCTCGTTGAGAAATAAATAACCAATACCGAAAATAATCTTGTGTAAATATTTCATTCGCAGTACTCCCTCTTTACTTGGCATTAACAAAACATAGTTTCCATTCGAGTGACGATTACGATTATAAATATTCGTTTAACCGCACTTACGAGCTGAAAATAGCCCACGTGCGTCCAAAATCGCGCTAACAAAACACACCACGCTAAGAGTAATTCAGAAGATACTATTTTATTTACCTTCCTTCACTGCTTTCTAAAATAAAGCCGATGAGTGGTCGACTTTTTGCCAGGCGAATCTATTAATAATCGCTCGGACGCAAATATCGCGTGCTTGGCTTGACCATTGACGCAATCGGGTGAAAAATGTGCGGGTGTTATTTAATGAAACTGTGGAAAGTCGGTGGGCGCCGGCACTGGCAGCGAGCATGCTGGTGCTCCATGAACTTGTGCGACTTTACGAGCTGCCGCCGTCACTCGCGTCATCGCGCGTCCGCGCCGCCGCCGCCTGCCACTCGCTGCCATTGGCCCGCCTCTAATACCGCCAATTATTTTACAAGCCATAAAGCACATGTAAACATAACCATAAGTCAGTTGACGTACATCCAACAATGTTGCTCACTACAATAACATTACAAAATCACGCCGAGCTCCGGCACTCAGACATATCTGCGCCAAAATAATGCATTTAACGCAAATATTATCAAGTCTTGTCCGTTTTCTTGTACATTTTAAATAAGTAAGTAATGAGGGTTTTATAATTTTTACCCGTTTTTTTAACATGATGAGATCACACGTAAATGTTTGTGGTTATTTTTTTTTATTACGTTAGTAGCGCCGCAGTGCGGTTTACCAGATTTTTTTTTTAAAGGAAAAGACGTACAATATTAGGTAAGCCTGTTCTAACAGTTAGGTAAGTAACAGACACGTCTGTTTACGCTGGAATGGAATAACCAAGATTTATTTAACAAAGACATCTTGCTAATAAAAAAACATGTTTTATCGCTGTAAATATTATGATAATTAACTTATCATATTTATTTAACTTCATAATCCCATTATTACAGATTGTTCAATTCAAAAACGATTACCTACTAGATTATACGAAGTCAGAGTACTGTTTACAGTTGCATTAACGTTGTACCTAATCATTATTAATTGAAACGAATTAATTGTGATACATCTAGGTAGTCCCAAATACTTTTGGATATCGAAGTGCCTTAGTTAATATACATACAGAATTTCTTCGAAATACCTAGGTATTGTTTTAAAATCGTAGTTTTTATCCTCACATTTGCATGAAACGCTAATATTTCGACGGTCCTCAGCGCTGACGTCAGAGGCGAGCTGAACAAGCAATCGCCTCTGAAAGAAAATACATTTTTCATAATGTGCTCTGTTACAACGACGTGCCGACGACGAACGGCGGCCTTATTTGCCACTGTCACACTGAGCTTTAAGTATTTTATTCCAACTGGCGTGCGATCACCTTGTTAGATCTCTAAAGGTTTTGTTATCGAACATATTTGGAGTAAACTATGTAGATCAAGGGTTCAAAGTTGGGAGGTAGAACATTCGTAGATTAATTAAAAGTAATTTAGCAATGTAACCCTGTAATTGTATTATCACGATTAGTAATAAGAAAAGGAAAAACGGTATGGATCCTTCTAAAATATATAAACATGTTTTTAATAAAAATTAAGTATCCGAGTGCGTAATTTAAAACCGAAAAGGCAAATTAAATACATAATTTGGTACTGAAGGAATAATTAAAATCGCCATAAATGCATTTAATTATGTATAATGTGCTATGATTGGAGGTTCTGTAATCTCTATCCGCAATCTTAATGTGCACACACAATACAACAATGTACATTGGGTTAGTATGAAACATTAGAAACATGCAAGCGCACACAGACCTAAAGCAATTAATTTCGCAACAGAAAGGAAATCGTCAACGTGTATGAGCATGTAGGGAAAAAGTCAATTACACGCACCTCAAATATACTTTGTTTTAGGCGTTAATACCGACACGCAACGCCTTTTGTATTAAGTATAAAAAAGTGAGACGTTACTGCTTAAGCTAGTTGCGTGACAAACGCTAACCGAATGCGCTTTTCATATCCGGAATGTGATATTAAATGTGTTTTATTACTTTATCGTATTACAGAATTTCAGTAATGTATTTAGGTGGCCTAATTGACGTACATTATTCACGGTATGACCACCTTATGTACATGTTTTTGTGCATAAAGTGTTAAAATAAAACTTCAAATATTGGTTCGATTCAAGTGTATCCAAACTTTGCACTCCATAATACAATACGTATCCACTACTAATACTTACAGAATGATGCGCAAATATCAATAAAATTAAAATTAATTTATAAAAAGCAAGGTGTTATCCATTTAACCTATACGACACGTTCGCATATAACCTGGTAGTGAAGCATAAAACAAAATCAAACAAACTCAACATTTGAAAGAGCGCATCTACATATTCTATTGATGATACACCTTTCAATAAAAATTAATCATTGTCTGACCGCCGACGTCAACTAAAAACATCTATAAACCACACAGATTTGAAATCTCTACCGCGTCGCAACGAAATATATTTTTATATATCTTCCTACTTGTTTATGGAAGTCTTACGTGAATTACAGCACAACAAACTTCCAAAAAAGCGTCTCCAAAAACAGTTTAAGTAGAAAACTAAATCTGAAACAAAAATGGCAAGCATCTTCTTTTACGTTCGTCTCCAAATAGAATATAAAGCTTTAATTTATTATGCTTCTAATGGAAATTCACAGTCGTCCAGTTCTTAACAAGTTTAGAATTGAGTTAATGAAACTTGTTTCGATTACTAGTTTCCTACTTAATTCAGGAAGGGTTTTCTCAATTTATCTAAACTCGTAAACTTCCGAAGACAAGACCAAATATTCAACGACACGAACTTCCTATTAGGAATTTGAATAATTCATAAAATAACCTTATTCGTTACCCAAATACGATACGTTTTCATTTTTATGAAAGTTTTAAAATGCAAGATAAGGTCTTCAAAAATACGAACCTATGTTTTAAGTAACAGTAACGATAAAAACTGACGGTTAAAGCTAGAGAGATTAACATCCCCAAGCGACCTCAATCTTTGTGCCTTGAAAAAGGAAATAATCCGTTCGTTAGTGCCATAGCGAGGAGACGAATAGGCAGCATTTTTAAAATTTGTTGAAATGGGCACGTTCGTCCCCGCCGGCGAAGTTACAAGCACTGCTCATGATGAGGGCGCAGACAAGGTGCTCTGTGGGCGCGGGGCATGGATCGCCTGTAACAAGGGCCACAGCCGACTGACTACGACGGTCTAGAGGACATTTTCAACCGCGCTCGTCCTCTGAAAACACTTGACGAACTGAACTGATTAAAAATTTACGGGTAACTACCATTTTTCATATGACCGGCCGATAATATTAAGTAGGTAAGTACAATAATATAAAATGTTCGAACCGTGCATTTTCAGTGCTCACCAAGTGTCTATTACAAATAAACAACGGCGGACATTTTCGCTTAATGCCCTTCGCTGTTTCCTAATGTTTCTACACAATTGGTAGCCGTGTCACGTAACATCCTCTACCACCTATTACCTGAACAAGAACGAATCTCTGGAGGTCGGTCTGGGTAAATTCCCTAAATAAAATAACAGCAAGTAGTTACCTATTGTGAAACGTGGGCAAATATTTATTTATGGTATTAGGGAAGTTAAAAAGTTTATTGCGAATTGGCTATTAGTTATGTCGTTTGTTACTTAGAAACTCATGAATATTTGACACATTTATATAACTGCGTCGAATGATTAAGTTGAATGAAAATCAAACGAGAAGGGTAGAGTTAACGTTCTTAACCTAATAAAGGGTAGGAGAGGGTTAACCGCATTTGATACGAGATTCAGTTACGGCAGGCAAGTTGACAAAGAATATAGTTTATGCTTTGTTTATATCGTCATAAAATAATAAAGATAAATCGCAAAACCGATAAACGTGACGCATAAGCTAATAAACACATTAACGTGTACCTAAATCATTAATTATCACCTTGGAACAATTTCTAATTCTTAAATATATCCGATTCATGAACGCAAAATCCAAACATAAAGGATTTAACTCAAACTTTTTTTAATAACTTCCCATTTATTCCCTGTTTATACAAAGTCATTAACATTTCTTGCGTCAAACCTTCAGCGAGAAATGTATCGACGTACCAGAGCTAACGTCAGCAGCCACTATTTCTGGATCATGCTCGTCATCGGCATCAAGGTGCTCATTGAATTAGCTAAAAAGGACATGCATATTGTGAAAGACATTGCCCTTTTTAAGTACGTTATTGGGGTGACTTTGATTCGTCATCTAGACATCTGAGGTTATAAAATAACATTTATTTGATAGCTCTTAGGTGCGTTCTTAGGCCTCCGATGTCCCGCATACTTCAAGTATAAAAACAATTCCATTAAAATTAAAAATATTCTACGTCGCTTTTCTTTGCGTTGCTATAATCTAATCTCGTGTACTTATATACGTCAAAGTTGTTTTATCTTCTTTTGTTCAGATTGTCTTTAGCAACAGTTAATTCTGCTATGTACCTGAATGCGTAATAAATGACCTAGTCTAGTATTGATAAGATATATTTTCACGACAAGGGTATTAATGATCCATTTGATCACGAACATCTTTCGTGAATTTTCTTTGTATTACTGTCTTGTTATTTGTCTCGTCTCTTAACTTTATTGGATAAAGATAAAAATAACGGTCTCTATGTCGTTTGTTTTATTTTGGTATCTAAATTGATTAATTTCATTCGATTGGCACAAATAAAAACAACTTGGCCATCTTTCTTTCTACTTTATCAATTTCATTAGTAGTTCAAGTTAGAACTTCAAAAGGCACATTTAAACTTTCCTATCAATGTAATTCATTCGACCGAATTCTTGAACATAATAGAAATCCAATGCTCCCTGGTAATCGAATCTGAATTAATGGCTTTTGGCGCGGGCCCGTTACAGGAAAATATTATTTTATTTTGTTAATTCTGCTCTTACAAGTTAATCGTGTCGTTGGAGTAAATCTTTAAATTCAATAAGAACTAACCGGGTTTATGTATCAATCGTAGTTAGTTCAGATGTGAATTGGGTGTAATATTGCTATGAAAATCTGGGTTTATAGATAAAATTGGATTATTCAATATATTTCCACTAGAATACGTTTGTTGGGCAGTCATAATTTATTGGTCCGTGTTCGCGGTCGGTCCACGGGATGCATGATTGAACATGCCGATGACGCAAGTGGTCGGCCGCTTATCGATTTCATTATTTTTTATCTTCAGCGTCCACAATAGTTTCCAGGCTAGTGTAATGCTTCATTAAATCCGACTAATTACAGATAATCCTTTTGAATTTACAAACATTTGACGTAAACACAGTTACTATCAACAGCTACGTACCTATTGTTTTATGATAGACAGCTGTTTATTTAACATCCTATATTTGTTTCTTTTTTTTGTTTATACTAGCCAGTTTTCCTCATATTTGCATTAAATAATTATTTACGAAGGTCAATTACGTTTGAACTTCACTACAGCTATATGCTTAGAAAATTGACATATACCAATTTTGCAAGTTTAGTTAAACCAAAAAAAATAGTTGATTCGTGTTGCGTAGCTTTAAAAAGTTTTGTATTTATAAGATTACCCCGTAGTCTGCTTTACCCTTTCTTCACTGTTATAAGAAGCGGTTTTTCCTTAAACACCCTGAATGTTATATTTTTAGAATAGAAAAGTTTGATGGGAATTTTGGGATCAAATTATTTTTAACTTCATTACACGATTCTTCATCACGTTTCTGAATATCTATTTATGAAGAAAGTAGGTAGGTTTCCCTTCCCTTCACGAGGGTTCGCGGTTCATAGAATTAGCTAAGTATAGAGACTATTCAAGATATTTTTACAACATTATTTATAGGTCCTATGTTCTTATTTCATTTTCTCTCGTTTATCAGAAAAGAGAGCTAATTGGGTATACGTTTTGTTTTCATTTCATATATCTACTATACAGTTTTAATTAGAGCAAATAGAATTTAGTCTCTAATGTAACAGACATATTTCTGTATCTTGAGTTATATAAATGTTCTTTTTAAGTAGGTATTCAATTATAAATACAAAAACGAGTTTCAAAAATAAATCAAATTGTATAAGAAACATCGTTCTCTTGTAGCTTATACAACTCAGAGCCTTTAATTGAACAGAAATAAAATGTTCCAATTTTTTATCGAGGGCCCGCGTAACATCATTCAAAGCTATTAAGACACTCGACGTGATGGCTACAAAGAACCTTCTTAATTAGAAAGAAAATTGGTGAAGTTAGTTGAAACGTGTCAGTCAGTCTGAGCCCTACTTAATCTCTCGGTAACACTTGGAAACTTGCTCATACAGAAACGGTTTTCTTTTCAAACTCGACGCTACGAAAGTGGCATTGTTACGTGCATGTAACATACCTTTTTGAGCAAATGAGTTTTCGCCTACTTCGCCCTTAAAAAGTAAAGCGAAATTGTTAGTCCGCGAATGTATTCAAAATTAGTACAAGTACGTGTGTTGAAAGTCAAATGGAGGCAAGAGACCGAAGAAAGGTTTAGTACTTAGTTCTTAATCATAGATAGCGTAAAGGTCGTTATTGACGCTATGCACATACGTCATTCATTTGTTGAGAGTCAAGGGTAATTTAGTTTACAGTTTTGGTACGATCGACGGACAATGCTTTGACGTGTCTCCAGCCTTGAACAATATTGAATGAAGAAAGCAATGTCGAGGCACTCGAGGCTCACGATAGTTTAACCATTACGAACTAACGCTACACCTCAAGGTACACTTTTTCTTGTCGTTGTATCTCGTAGCAATTTAATTGTAACGAATCATGATGAGTCGTTTAGAATTATGTACCTAAATCAGGTGGTAAATATAACACCTACCATACCTGAGTCGTATTATCACATCAACGTCAGATACGAAAACTTCGATAAGTTTGAAATTGAGACATAATGAGTTTCTTGTCGCTTACCTTCGCTCATAAAATATGGTATCCTAAATCTGCCGGAGAGCACTCTGTCCCTTAATGACTGAAGTGTGGAGCCGTCGAAAGGCAGTGCCCCACATACGAGCACGTATAACACCACGCCGAGACTCTGTTGAAAGTACATCATCATTAGTCCGGATACTTACTCTATACCTACGTACCTGAGGCCTTAGTACGAGTTTTATTTACGGTTGGTTCGTTGGTTCATTGGCCAATCAGAGCGCCGAAAGCGTACTCGTTTCGAATACTTTAAACGTAAAACAAACTCGTACTAAGATCTCTGTTCTCAATACCTAAATATAAAAAAGGCTTTTTTTTAAGGGGGGAAAATCATCGAATGACTGCTCACGCCTGGGTGAGGCGGGAGGGAGTGTCTATGTTGTTAGTCTGACTCGTACTGACTAAAAACCACCCCGTTCCTTCTCCTGCACGCAGAGGCGGAGCCCCGGTAACCCATTAGGTTCTCCGCGACATGACCTATAGGCTAGAAGGCTTCCTCGCATGCCTAAACATGAAAGTGATATAATGTATTGAAGATCTGAAAGTTCATTGCAGGTGCAAATTTAATATATTTAAATATGCAACTTAGAGTTCTAACTTGCATATTTTTGCATAATCCATAGTATTTAAAGTGATACAATATAAAATAAAATTCAACGACATGCAGGACTCGTTATTAGGTTTGTGGACAAAACCTTTGGTATACATTTTAATATAATTAATATATGGTATAAATAACTGTATAATATTTATGACGTTATTCTGTATGAAATATAGCTTTACTAAGCTTCTAGTACGTGAAAAATGACGAAATAAGAATCTCAATTAGCTACTTACTACCTACATAACTGTATGTACAGTGCAGCGATGTACAAATAATGTTCTCGTTATTTGACATTCATCGATTGAATGAAACAATGTAACGGATATAAAGAGGAAAAAAAATCGTATGCATATAGGCATAAGTTTTATTACCAAGTTAAAGTTAAATTTTTGCTTTTAAACTGAACTAAGATACAGCCATAATGTTCGATATTTAAATATCTAATACTAAAACTAAGCCACCCGACCCTAATCTATTTTAACAACAATTTAGGAGAAGAGTAGGTTAGACTCACCCATATATCAATTTCTGGGCCCGTATATCTCTTGCCCTCGAAGACTTCAGGAGCAGCGTAGGGAGGCGACCCACACCACGTCGCGAGGAGCTCGCCTGTCGCGTAGTAATTGCTGAATCCGAAATCCGCGATCTTGATATTCATGTTAGCATCCAGTAGTAAGTTTTCCGCCTGGATGGAAAAGTTTTCTTTAGTAAGTACATGAGACGTGAAATTCGTAGTCCTTACAACTTTCTTAGACCTGCAATCCTTAATGTTCTAGGAATTAGTTCCAAAAATAACCCCATTCGTGAAAGAGGAAATTAATAAACTTAGGACTTGGTTATCGTGTCGACATTTTTCCCGTGCGCTATGAATTATGTGAAAGTCGCGAGCTTTTTCGAGTGGCTACAGTCCGCTTGGCCGAAAACTCATTATTTCAGAATGAATCCTCTACAGTCTGCACTCGGCATAATTAACAGGAATGTTCAAATAAGTACGGAGGTTTGTAGCAAGCGAAAACAAAAGCAACATTCCGTGTAATTTTCAGGTAAAATTTTACATAATTTCATATTCTCTTAAACGGGATTTGTTCCGGTATATGTATGTATATTTTGAAATTGAATTCTGTTAAAGTTGAGAAACACCAAAACTTCTGTCTTGTAAAAGAGTTCCAAAATTAATATTATTCTACAACCGTAACAAAGAGGGGTTACAACTTTTTCATAGTTTTAGATTTATGTAAGTAAGATAGATAAAACTTCCGAGATTCATGTATACAATTTGTCTTAATTTACATTTTAGAAGCATTGAACTGGCTTTCCCACTTCGATCGAGTAGAGCGAACTTTTACCAATATAAAACTGTCATCATGTTTCTAAAGTTCCAAAAATATAAAAGTAAAGATTGCGAACACCGATGTGAAACCAGTCTGAGGTTATTTTGACACAATTATAATAGCTCACTTGGAGCCTTTAGCATAAAGTAACGTTGAAAAGGACACTAAAGCACTCTCCTGTTCACGAAGTAAATGTCTAACTACATTTAACGCTGAAAGCGCGTGCTCGGAAAACTACTCTATGTATACTAACAGAAGTGAAGTTTGATAGATTTATGCAAAATGCTTAGCCAAACTGTTATTTTAGTCTAGTTGTGAACTAAGTTTAGATAGACTAACCACTAGGTATATTTTGAAACAGACGGACGTTGAAAATGTAGGAATGTATTTTTCACATTTCCCAACGTAACTGGGGGCTTAAGTCCCTTACGTAATTAAAAATTATGCCGGTCCCCACAGCTTAAAATGATATTTTATTTTTTAATTAACCTGTTCCCTGCCAGTTGCTATAATAAATACTGGGTGTATCTAAATGGGTTAGTATTTCAAGGCTTCGCGCTTAACTTGGCTGACTATAAATTACTCCGAGTAATTTATTGGTAGTAATGAAAGTTATACTAGTACTGCCATTAACTACATACTTCACATAGCAATGAGGACTTTTCCTAAGCTTGAGGTCAAAATTAAAAATTGAAAATGTCAGTAAATGGGAGATTTTTTCTTCCGTTTTCTAAGCAAAAGAAACATTAGATAATTTGTGACGTTCACTAAATAATCAACGAATAAATCTTCTTGTCCTTTTAATTTATGGGTCTATGACAGTGTTCTCAGGAGTAAACACAGACGCAAAATTCTCACTAAGAATATGGTAATCATTTATCTATCTATCTTTTCTTTCTAGACAACAAAATCAGAACAAGGAAGTTACCTTGAGATCTCTGTGAACGATGCGCCTTTCGTGACAGTACTCCACGGCGGAAAGGATCTGCCAGAACTTGCGGCGTGCTGCTTGCTCAGCCATGCGGCCATATCTCGCGATATAATCTGCAACAAACATGTCCGTGTGAACTACAAGAAATTGACAATCTATCTTATATGTAGGATTATGTGAAGTTAAGCATTATATAAAACTCTGCTAAAAGATGATACCTTTGCCTCACATCAAATGGTCGTCGTAGAGTCGGTACCTTTATGGAAGGACCCACACCGATCACTTGTCGACAAGTGATCAGAGGAATTGCAAAGAGGAGAGAGAAGAGGTTAGGACTTAGGACTCCGGCAACGTTACTTACACATTAAACTAAAACGAATTTTCTGTGAGGCCATGATGTCACCTGACCATATGTCGAACTGACCCATTCGTGCTAAAGCATAGCTCTCCCACGTGATTATCGCAGGTTCCGGATAAATAAGCCATGACAGAAATGATGACTATGTTAGTAGTTATACCTGTTTAGATGCAGGAAGCAGTGCAAAGATCAAACTTCCTTAATAGAACGTCATGTCCGCCTTTAGAAGCATTGATAATAAAGTTTAATGCGACTAGTTAATGATATTTTCAGTGGATTTCATACATCTAATATAAATTCATTATCACATATTTCACAATCGACGTATGTGGCCTACAATCACAGACCACACAAAATAACATACTAGGTATGATGCAATCCTTTTGTACATGTACAAACAATTTGTCATAAACGACAACTCGTCGGTTTAGCTCTTATGTTATTGTTCTACGGACTACCTACTATTATAGGTTTCCGGTAAAGTTATGGATATATAGTATACAGAAGATATACACATTAATGTACCTACACATAACAAATAGAGTAGGTACCATGTAATATAGAACTTAGATAAATGGTTGCGTATTCTCTGCTCTACGTACGTCATTTGATCGTAGAACTGATTATAACAATTCACGGACGCATGTACTTATCAATATAAATAAAGAAGAACTCAGTAAAATTGCTTATCTGACATTATTACAACATTAATTTTAGGAATAACAATGAAAAGCGTCATTTGAATAAATATCTAAATCAGATTAGGGCTGTGAGCTGTGGTCACAAGGCTAAAGAATCTAAAAAGCGTGGTCTCTTAATAATGTATAGCAAGAAATCCTTTTCCCGAATTTACTCACCAGGTAAAATAACCATACGAATTTTTATTTCTCTATGATTTGATAAAATTAGCTACAGCCTATAATGTCCGAAAATGGGAAAAATACGTACAGTCAATTCGAGTACAAATATATGAATTGCTTTTGATATAAATGTGTACTCAAACTAAATATAATAATAGTTTCTATTTTTATTTGATATTTGACTTAGTCTTATCACCTCTGTTCGTCATTTGAGACCGAGTACATAAAATTTACATATTTTATTAAGTAAATAGTTAGGTATACAGCTACTTCCTTAATTAGGATATTTGTTAAACCAACAAAGGTTTAAATGGTGAATAAACTGTTATGTAACAAATAATTAATTGTGTTCTAAGAACAAAGCTCCTACTAATGACTCTTAGAAGGAACCTATATAAAGCTTAAAAGTGAAAGCCAGTCTATGTTTAAGTACTAACAGACGATAAGGATAATATTTCTTCAACACAACGTGGGCCTTATTTTCGTTTCAAACACTACAGGGAACACGTCCCGTTTATTATTAAAGTGGGTCAGAGTTTATCGCCCACTTTAACTGTCGATCCACTAACAAGAACATCTACAGACCTTGAAGTCTACGGTTCGATTCCCAGGACGATAAGTAAAATTAGGCTTCTCTTTATGGTAATTTCAGAAACTGCTCCAAAAGGAGATTACTACACGACCCAAAAAGAAGCCTATTTAAAGAGGTCATAGGTCGTATGTGATTGGTCCCAATGGACTCATTTTAGGGTTACCGTCGTAACGAGTTGTACGAGAATTTGGAACAAACCTCCTTTCGTGACAAAAGTAGAGTATTCGTTTCCTAACTAAAGGACCACACGCTATTAAATATAATATGATGTGGTGCCGATGACTCGTATGTACCCTATTTAATAACATACTCAACTTGGGTGCACATACGAAACAGGAATTGTAAATTCATCCGCTACGAAATAAAAACACCTGATGCCCTGACGCAGGTGTTGAATGAAGTCAAACAAAGTGCACATTGTGTTTAGTATTCTCAACGACTCACAATCGAGTATTAATTACCATGCACTATACTTTCAAATAGGTTAGACGAAGTGCAAGGAAATAAATGGCGAGGCCGATGGGCCGAGCTACGAAATTAATCACGCTTGGTAGGCAGATGTTGAGCCATGTCGTCCCGTGGGTGTCGTAAAAGGCAAGGGGATTATATCAAATGGATTGGCAGAAACAACCTCTGCTCATAACAACATAATGATGTAATCACTTAATATACGCCTATACGATGGAGGAAGGGAACATATTAACAGATTCTTTATGCCATATGAATGATTAACTCGCGTCAATTCCATTAACATTAGTAAGTATGTATTATTATTATGGCTTTATTCATAAAGTCTTCGATGAAGCAGATGTGATAACTGAAATTGTTAACACGGGTCTCGCTTTTGCTGATTTTAATTAAAAGGAGGCTTATATTGGGCCAATTAGTAAAACGTTTCTAACGTTTCTAAACGTTATATTAGAACTGAATAGGTACAGCAAAACTGTGTGTAAAATACTTATTGGAGTGCTGCTGATTACCTATAGTACTGCTTATGTAGGTATTTTTTTTAGAAAAATGCTATTTAAAAACTAATATTTTTGCTTGCAAATCAGAAACACTCGTTTAACATAAAACTCTTTCGGCATGAATCATAATCTTTGATGAGTTTCATATTTAATGAAATTCATGCAAAAGAACCGGGTTTCGAGGCATGGAGATCGCAGTTGGATTTTGGGGGAACGTAGTCAGCTGTGCGCGAAATTGCTTCCCTCTTCCACCCACTACCCCTACTGCCGTCAGCGACACCCTGCCGATGACGTCACGCCAGGCCTGCTTACGTCATAGACAAAGCGGCCACGAACTTACCGAATACCCTTAATCGATTTCGAGGTTATTTACTACGTTGTATTTTTGGTTGCGTTCGAGAAAAATGCTGTTTACCTATTCTCTGAATGTCGAAAATGGAATTCATAGATGTTTCGTGAATCAACTAGAGAGAATAATTACGCTATCGAATACTGTTTGTATTATAATACATTTTGGCAGATACCCACGTATTTACTCAACTTCTCTCAACAAGACCATTCTCAAGAGATGTTTAATTCATGCAGGTAGGTAGGTAGGTGGGCATGTAAAATAAAAACATGTGAACACGGCGGGTTACAATGACTAAAGATTGATGATCTCATTGAACGTAGGTATTCTGGAAATTTGCCAACTTTAAATACTTAAAACAGACTGTCTGAAAATGAGATAACTAACGTAATTGTTTGACAAATAAACAATGCAAATACGATGTCTGAGTATGACGAGATTTTGTTATTTAATAGTTTTTCTACATTTTCTCTTTAAAAGTCATAGAATATGTCAGCGTTTCAAATCTTTGCTATTTGCTTCGGTACACTGAATGGATGAATTTTAAATACATGCTACTTACTTACTTAAGCAACTCTTTTTATAATACCTATATTATGTGTAAACGCCTTCGATATAAGAATTTGTTTGTTAAAAGTTACTAGTAATAATAATATTATTTGTTTTTAATTCAGAGATCAAAGATCTAGTTTCATAAAAACATTTATAAAACTTACCAAATATTTCTCCTTTGCTTGCGTATTCTGAAACTATGTAGATCATGTTCTTCGTCTCCATGACCTAAAACAAAACAAAGTTTATCCTTTCAGTAATTCGTATATGTCACAGATCACAGAAGTAAATACCATTTTTCTTTTACAGAGTACAATTTCCCCCAAAATAAATGTCAAACCATAGACTCGAACGCTGTGGTTAAAACCTCATTAGGTGGGTGTTTCTTCGAAAAACTTTAACTTTTATTTAACAAATAATTATTCTCCCGCGTAGTTAAGCACCATAGTATCTTATTATAATTTGTATCAGATTGGTTAAAAGCAATGACACGAGACACGATTCATTTTCTTGAAACCAAGTTTTGTGTTCTAATCAACAGCAATATTTACTTTGGGTTGAGGATAATAACACCGTTAATTTTTTGTTAATTTTTTTTTGAAGAATCACCAGGTAGGTACGCTCTGTCAATTGATATAAAAACTGACTACCGATATAGCAAGGACATTTTATGTATTCCATCTTTATGTATGTAGTACGTAAGACTCCAGACCAAACATGGAAATACATTTTACTTATTCATAGGTCCGTAAGCATAACTAACTACGCAGAACTTTACTGCAACCTTCGTACATTTTTTATGTGTAAGTACTGGCACTTTTAGTACCTACTGTGTAACCGTTAAACAATGACGTCACAAAAATTACGTGGGGTTTCATAATTAAATGCTAAGGATTATTTAATTAGAGGTCTGTTCGTGTTGTGGAAGATTTAAAGACCAGGACAAAAATCGTTATTTTTATTGGTGTATTAATTTTTGTACATAACTATCTAGGTAAGTACTACATTGGTTTGATAAAATCTTCTACAGTTTTATTAGATAACGTCTAAAATTTTAAAATTTACAGCTCAGTATATAGTACAGTCGTGGATAGCTTTAACACACTCATGTTTATTTTCTACTTGCTATTACCCGCAGCTTCGCTCGCGTCACAAAAGGATAAAAAGTAGCCTATGTGACATACACACAGCGCCATCGTTTTCCCTCGAGTATATCAAATTTTTTCGGGATAAAAAGTACCCTATTATTTAATCCAGACTTCTAACTTTACATCTGCAAAAATTCAAAGCAATCGGTTAAGTAGTTACGACGTGAAAGCGTAACTAACAAACAAACGAACAAACTCACTTTCCGATTTATAATATTAGTAAGGATAAGGATATTTGTCAAAGAAGAATTAATGTGGAATAGTTGTAAACAAGGTAAATAAGTTAAGTTCTATAATTAGTTAGCATTGTATTTACCTACCAAGTGTATCATAATAATACCTATAACAGAACTTGTTTGTAACTAAAAATAAAAGTAAATAGTATAACGAGAGAAACACAGCTGAGAATAAAATGTTTAAACGAAAAGATACCTACCTACCTACTAAAGATAAACAACTTTGTTATTTACCTAATTTTAGTCGAATAAATAAAACTGGAGGTACTGGTTTATATATTAATAGCCATAAAAAAATAGAAAATCAAAATCTTTAAAAAGATCTTCACATTTTCTGCTTAACATTTTTCCAGCGAGGAATCGTCATTGTGGGCAATGTTTACTAATAAGTATGTAAATAGGAATTGACAATGTTTACAATGGAAAATTTACACTTCTGAATTTGTTTATTAAGTGCCAAGAAGATGTTAAGAACTGTAATAATGATGCCAACATAATTATTACAATTCTGTTGACACGTAAAATTGGAAAGGCAGTCGTATAAGTGTAGTACCTACTTATAAGTAAATGGTCTAGTAATTTACTTAGTTTTAAGGCATAAAAAATGTCGCTCCCAACCATATAAGAATTTAAAAATAGAAAAAAATAATAATAAAATCGCACGCAGTCTGCATAAAACACGCACATGTCACGGGGTCGTAATCTATACCTACATGTAATAAAACTGTAGAAGTGTAAATTCTGTACATTGAAAATTAAAAAAAAATATTGGTGTTGCTAAACACCAAATCCAAAAATGTGATTAAAAATAATTTTTGTCTGTGACAGACATGCCAAAACTACCGGTCCGATTACGATGAAATTTAGTCTGATTATACATTTATTACTTTAATATCTTGGGCAACACACTGGGTACTTTTTATACCGAAAAATTGTGTAGGTATGTCACAAATATAATTTTCACATACAATTAATAAAATCATTAACTTTGGTAGGTATTGCATAATGAGCTTAGTAATAAAAGCAATTTTTGCTCTATTGTAATTTTCAAATTAAATTAAGGAAGCAAAACGAGTACTATAGCGATCATAACATTAAGTTTTTTTATGTCTGGCCCAAACACGTCATTACTTATATGGCATTATGAAAAGTTTAAATTAACTACCAACAAACGACCAATATCATATCTATGGGCAGATGTGCTTACTAGATATACATTTTAATCTACTGACAGACAGGTTATTGACACTGGCCTTGAAAATTAATTATTATCTATGCATATTTTTTTTTCCAATTATATGTTTAAAATTTTCAAAACGAGAACGCGCGTACTTTTTTAAGTATTTATTATTCTAAAAATGTGCCTAGATATTAGGTGTTTCAGGTGAAAAATAGAACTATAGCAATAGCTATAGTTCTAAAAATCTAAAACTTGCATAATAATGCAAGTTTTATTTGAGAACATTTACGTAATTAAACTATAATCTCTAAATTAACTTATTTAAAAAAATATAATTATATACGCTTCCAAAACGTTCTTTATAGTAGGTATTATAAAATTCGAGAAGTTTAGAATTTGGAAAATATTACGTCTTAAATGTAATATTTGAGTGAAATGAGAAGTCAACACTCCGAGGATCGTATTTTGAGTAAAGTCAATTGCCTCCGTCCCCTTAACACCACTTAATAATTTCGATGGAAAAGTTTCTATCTCGGAATTCAATGAATGCTTTCATAAATCCTGCTTAACTTTGGCGAATTACTTAAGTGCTGGATTTGGAATCTTTCTTTAAACTGTCAAACACCAAGCGGTCACCGGTGACCGCAACCTATTGTTCTATAATTGTGTCTATAATGACGGTACTCGACGAGTTAAATAGCTTTTAGTTATTGTTATTAAAATACAAATTTATTTACCATGTCAAATAAATACTCTCTTATTTTGTAAGTATAAGTTGTATCAATAGTCTTAACTTTATCTTTATCGTATGTTGACTCTGGATTATTTTTTACCACCCAAACAATCTGTATTGGAACATATATGTATTTGTCTAATATGAGATACTTCGTTAAACCTTGATATATATTCATAAACCGTTGACGTCCCACAGATGTATGCGTTATCAAACAGTGATTGTTATCAGTACAAAATGTTCATAACGTCAATCTATTCTACTTTACCACGTAGTTTATCTATCGGTAAATGGAATCTATTAAGGAAACACCACTCAGGCCCCGAGCACTTTAATCCACTATTAAAATATAGGTTTTTGAGATTACTCAGATTAACCGCGCCCGTAACCTCGGCCTTAGATTCATAGTTATCACTAAAAATACAAACATGACTCAGTATCTTTATTCTGTCTTTTCGAAACGGCTTCCAGCTGTTAAGAAGTCATCACTACCGCTAGGTACGCCATGGAAATGAATGAAAACCGTGCTCTCTGAGAGTTGAAACTCTCTTGTCTATAAATAACCGTAAAATGGTGGAATAACATGATTGTTTTGTTACTCAAAACAACGGATATGGGTGTTTGATTGTATAATGATAACATCTCAATAAGCGGAAACGTTCTCTTCCCGTGGGTTAAGGACAAAGCAAACACTTAATGGCATTCAAGATGACAATGTTTGTACACAAGGAACTTGGTACCCATTCAAGCTTTTAATAATAGTATCAAATCCATTCATACTTTGGCACGTGTTACGAAACCAGATTACGTAACATTGCATTGTTCCAATTACAAGAATTGGTATTGTGCTGCAACCTACTTGCCTGGTTAGTTTCATCTGTTACTATGTTGGGATCAGTATGCACGCGGGATTACTTCGTTCTATACTACACTAACAAGTAACAACTGATTTAAGAGCCGGTTTCTTAAGTAAATTCTCAGCGTTGAGAACATGCAATTGGAATGCGTTTATTAAATGCAATAGTTTCATATCATTAAAGATACAAGCAGTATCTTCTATCCCATTAGGAATGGATAGTACTGCTCTAACTATTTAAATACTGACTTTATTAACACATTCTTTATAGTCTGGAAGCATTTCTGCAGCAAGTACTGCTTTCTATTCATTCGCACTCATAAGGAATAGAAAGTATTTTATGCATGTAATTATAAGATCCTATGAGATCATCCAGCTGATCCTAGATGACGCATATCTAAAGATGTATCTTTGTTTCTGTGTTACACCAACACCTGTGTCGGAATGAATTTGAAGTGGCTTAATCATTTCTGTCTCGTCATAGAAGCCTATTATTATGTTTCCTAATAAGTAACTGAACTATGAATGATGAGGTGTAAGACAAGCGGTCTGTCACAATGAATGAGGTCAGTCGATAAAACTGAGAAGGAAATATAATGGAAAAATAAAACGTAAACAGAGATTTCACAATGTCTCGTAAAAGATGTCTAAAGAAAACCAGTCTTCTGTAAAATCCATAACTATTGCACAAAAGATACCTTGAACCGCTTTCCCCGTTTTAAAGTTTCGGATTTCGTTCTGCAATCCCATTGCGAAATCTCATTCGCATCCGGTGCTACCCGAACGTTTCTAAACTCGGTATATTTTTGATTCTGCCTGTATTGGAAAAGCAATATGGAGGTATCTCGTGATAGAGCATGTGTCCTTATTCCACCCATCTAAGTAAGAAGTCTAGTCTAACGTGCACCTACTACTAAGCTAACCCAATCAAATATTGATTATTGATTTGTCGCTTGACGTTGAGTACCAAGTGTAGCTGTAACGTGAGGGTGATGCACGCCTAATCAATTAGGCGCGCCGCGTTCGGCACGAGGTTAGGTCCTCGCCTTCACTATCGTTAGTAGTTAAGTACTTTCCGCTCATGTATTTTCCGAACAAGGACTAAGTTAAGTAGCAGAATAATTATTGCAAAACATGAAACAAAAGAAACTAGCTCATCATAAAATAACAATGATCATTAATTTGAAAGGTGCCTTAACCCTAAATTATAGCATTTGTGGCTACCCACAAAATGAAGTCTACCATTTTAAACTATTTTTATCCCCGCCTGTAAGAAAGGTATACATGTGAGTTACCAAAATTCGAGTTGAAATATGAGAACGAAACATGCGATTGCTGACGTAAATTGCCTCATACGTAAAAGCTATTCACATTGACTAAGTTTCTGACGTAAAGAACATTTGAAAGACAAAGTGTACTATGTTAGACCGCGGTAAGTTTTTGTTACAGTTACGTTTGTAGGAGACCGACATTTCTTATCATAAATAGCGCAGAACGATGTATGCGAGCCGGTCTCGTTACCACATAATCCATGAGCAAAACATGACCTTACAAGCAATAATGTGAGTACGTAGCCGTCCCATTCCACTAGTTTCAGCTGCCAACAGAGTAATGTCACGCGTCAGAACAGCTAACGGCATGTCGTACTAGTGGCTCATTTTGTTGGGCTAATGGCAGAATTGTCGCATTATTCGGAGCGAGTCATGTGCACAACGTAATTGGCATACACTTAGGTCGTAGTCGCCCCATCAGCCGGTAAGTCAGCTAATTCATACACATTTGTTCCACCGCTTACCGACACGGTGCCAGTGCCCATGGGAGTTTCTCTTCCACTGCTACTGACCTATGTTGACTTTAATAAGCGTAAAGCAAACCTCTTTTAAAACAGTTTGCGCTAGACCAACTATAAACTTGTATGACATCATCACCGTCGTCATCCATACTTTGTATTTACCTATTTATCACGCCATTACTGGATGCAAGTCTTATATAAAGTTATTTACATTATGTTATTATGTACTTACATTATACATACGTACTACATACAGTAATACACCACACCTACCTGTATAGGTATAGATTTAGACAACAGTAATTTTATTACCTACGTAGTCATACGAATGAATTAATATGAACTCACCTGGTAAAGCTTAATAATATGAGGATGATCCAGTCTCTTCATGATGTCCACCTCTCTGTAGACCTTTTGAAGATTGCTGGCGTCTAATTGCGATTTATCTATTATCTTAATTGCTACCTGCAACAAAAAGTAAACATAACCTTAATTGAAAAGTAACGTTGTCTTCAGTGTTGAGTGCTACTAATCTATTTATCACCACTTAACTCGTGTATGAAAGGAACGAGGTCTTTGAACATATAATATTAGCTATCTTGGTTACAAACATCTCGAGCTACAAAACAAAATCTTTGCTCTCGCTACATATTAGTGTACAGGCATAGATATCGTTGTACTACCAAATTGATCGTGACATCACTGTTGTTCAATATTCTCACTTAGTGTCAAGTGGGCATCTAACCAGACGGCTGCCTAATAAAGTTTTTTCAGCGGTCGTAACGGAACAATACCGTTAGTGGCTTGTGTGTTTCCAGGCTTACAAAGGGGCGGTGACGTCAAGACGAGCGTCAGTCCCCAACGATTGAAGCAATTGACGTGATTGCGCCAGCGGATCCGTCCACCGCAGCTGGTTGAATTATGAGACAGCAAAAAACCCCGGAAAAGAAAGCTGAATATTCTAGTGTTCTCTTGCAATATTATATTTTACAGACAATGCAATCTGCACGAGAGCAGAAAAACGATTCGCGTACTGGATGCAAGAAAAATGAAAATGTATCCTTTCTTATACCAGATAGATGGATGAATAGGAATAACACAATGCTTCTGAGAATGATTTCATTTTTTTGCTTTTTTGAATATCGCTATATTTTTAGTGAAATACATAATCATTGTGTTTGAAACAAAATATCAGTTCATGAATATCTATGTAGGTTCTATCAAAAATGGGCATCATTTAAACACACCAATTTTTTGTCTAAAAGTGAAAGGCGAGACAGACAGATAGTCTGTCACATCCATACAACAGACTATGTCTTTTTGTTGTCTAGCTAGACTTCTGAGCTGGACATTAGCTTTCTTCATTCAAAGGAGGTTTCGAACACAGTTCTCACACACACAGTGTTCACATTAAAACAGTGATAAGTGTAACTAGACTGACCATGCATTGTTTTCTGATACATGTGGCTCACCTCAAAAGATACGCAATCGAGTATCTTGCAAAATATTTTGATAAAACAACCGCAATCCATTCATATCTACTTGAAAAACAGTGTCAATTACATGCGGAGCGGCACGTTTCATATGAATCTATTTCAATTCGTAGGCCCAATTATAATTATCTTAAAGTCAAACTAATTTACATATAAACTCCAACAAGTCTACTACAATCGACCTTTCAAAAGAAATAACTGTTTAAAGAATGGAAAATCCAATGCGGGCTCAGAATAAATTGTAAGCAATTCCGTATCAAGTAAATGTGTTTAAAATTATCTTCCAGTATTCTACAAACACGATTTCTTGGACATAATATTATTAGAACAGAATACAGGGACAGTAATGATTGTAATTGCAGTAATAGAATCTGAACTACCGGTCAGCTGCTCTGACATTGACCTCATTGAACAGATAGCAGCACTGCGCACACGACTCTCTTACGTCACTAAATTGGAAAACACCCCTATTCCAGATCCATATATTTAAACTTACGTAACTTGACAACCTCAGACAATGAAAGTCTTCGACATTTTGATTTTCTAGTTTTGAAATTCTTTATGCATTGAACCAAACACTATCCGCTGCTAATGATTGCATGTATAGGATTCAAATACCGTGAAAACAGACTTCTTAATTTATTTGTCTCTGTACATATCTCTCATCTGTATGTCTACTACAACCACACCTGCAATGTATTGCAAATGTCAATAAGAGTATTGACTATTACATCATCGCAGATGCCACTTGCTGATTTCCAACCAAAAATAGAAATAATAAGATTCGTGTCCACAAAGATGCAAAAGAAATACCCCTTTTGATATCAAGAATAATGATTTCCGTTGCTAATATTAACCACGTGTATCAACGGTGCATAACAAAAATGCATTGCAAATCATTAAAATGCAGCAACATGTTTCTACATGGGGCTTTTTTACTCCGTAACCAATGTATAAAATGGAACTAATATCACAATATCTCACTATCAAAATGTTCACAAACGAATTAAAATGGTTAAATTCGCAACGACATAAAAAATTAAAGGTAATCTCTCGTTCCAGTAATGTGTTTTAAGTTTAATGTTTTTATTAATTCTGTACAAGCATTCGTCTGTCAGTCCAAATCGCATTAAGTCGTTTCGTTTTAGAATACTTACTCGGTATAAATGTAGAAAGCGGCAAAACACGATACTAAGTGACAAATGAAAGAGAAAATGTAATGTCTACTTAGTCCAATTAAGTGGCAATCTGTTAATTATTGTATAATACAGGCATTAGTCACTGTACACGTGACAGACTACAAGCCAGTAGTTTTATGGCTCCATTGTTCTTCCATTGAAGACAAAGTGCTTAAAGAAAATTGTTCAATTTTCAAATATCCTCGAATATTGTAATCAATGGATTCATGAAGGAAATCCAGTAATAAACCCATTAATTGGTAATTAGATAACCATCAAAATGCTATAAATTGATTCTCCAATCATTGATACAACAATTTTTAAGAACGCAATACACTTACGTAGTTAATTATCAGGACCAAAACAAAACAGCGTTATCGTCAATTTTTATAATTAGGTATAATATAAATAAGTTCATTATTTTGATGATGGCATGACAAATGGACAAGAGATTGACCTTATTCAGGTATGCGTCATAAACTACGTAAATAGTGTACATACCTAGTGTTTTCTTACAGAAGGAACCACGTGAGTACTCAGGTAGTTACTTACTTACATAATTAATTATAGCAACGACATCAAACAAATTCTTTACAAATAACGTAATACAACAACTGACAGTCGACACACAATGTTATGTGTCTAGGTACCTAACCTAAATACAATGCCATTGGTATTATTTAAACATGTCTCAAAGGAATTTAATACAGTCCGTCGGTAGTAGCAACTGCAACGTCTTGTAGGTAAGTGGAGAGGTAACTGTCCGTTGTGGAATCTCGATTGCACAACGCGGAAAGACTTTTCTAACGAAATGAAGCGAGGACGCCTCGACCAGCCTCATATCCGGATGCATCGTATTACGGATACTATACACCTCGAACCACGCTATAACCTCCACGGTTGAGAAACTTGGGGGGTCAGTGCCCGCTAACCCCATTGTTCCACCAGTTCCAACGAACTGAATACGTCAAACATTGAGTGTTGCAAGAAATATTCCCATAATATGCCAAACAAATTAAAAGATAACGAATAAAAACCTGAGCATTGTGCTACAGCGCACCTTTAATTAGAAGAATATTGCTTAACTTTTCCTTATACGGATTTCACTTCATTATTTACGGTATAATTGCTGGATGAGGCAATCAGTCTCCTCTACCAATCCTACTCTGCATTGCTAGAAGAAGCAAGTCGCAGCCGCGAGAGTCAGCATTAGCCTAAATCTTACGTACCTTTTCTATGTACCTCTATAAACCCTAATTCTTAAAGGACAGGAAAGAGTTAAAAATATTTGCGCAGTAATGTTTTCTAACCTTCGGGGAAATACAGTCGTGATAATATTATTATTTTGCCATTGGTTACAGTTGTGGACAGTGGAACAGCTTGCAGATTACGTTGTTTCCCCATACATAAATCAACCGATCACGTTAAACCAGAGGAAAATGGAAAACATCGGCCAGTTTATCAAATAAATTAATTAGAAGGAGTTTATTTGCACAGGTTTATAAAAATTACACTAGCAGATTATTTGGTTACGTATCGTCTAATTACAACTGTTTGTACCTAATTGCCCTACTTCTGAATGAAACTGTTTCATCAACATCGGTCTTCCTTAAAACAAGGCCGATTACACCTCCAACTAAGAAACAATAGTTCTTACGTATTCATCGACGCTGATTACTTAATCAGTTATTAAATCCTAGTTAGACGACGTCATCAATTTCTGAGTTACATTTTTCCGGGAATCATAACCGTTTATTATGTTAGTACCAGCCAACGCTAGTGTTAGTCGGCTATCATCGTGTTCAAGGCAGAAATCTTCAAGATTTTTATTTAGTTCAAAATATTTTTGGAATGCTGAAAATTATGATAATAATTATTGTACATTTATATCAATGTCTGTCCTGTAATTAAATGACTACTTAAAACATAACTGGCGGAAAGGTGGGTACCCATTGTGGCTATATTAAACACGTGATCTTATCATCTCGTGATATTCGTATCTATGAAAGAAATGTTATAGGTAATTACAACGACACCGCACACAGATTGATCCACACCGATTATGAGTCACATGCACTGTTTCCACGTTGACAACACCCACAAAAATTACCTGTTAGACGGCTACCTATTAATAATGTCACACAATAACAGTGACGCACTTTGGACTATAGTCCCCTTCAGTCAGAAACCCTAATAAGTAAAATTAAGAGGTCGGTGATAAATTAGCACTAGCCTTCTAACAGTGTGACAACGTAGTTCTCATAAGTCACACCTAACTGTTAATCAATTGAGGCCTTCGTGGTGACTCCAAGTCGCGACTCTTGAATTCACAGCCTCAATTTACCTGTGTATATAGCGACGATAATTTATCTAGCATTTGTCAAAGTAAATAGCCATTCTTAGCTACTACAGCTCGCTAGACAAATATCACTTCATGACATTTTTTAGTAGTAATTGAAGTCGATGTGCCTTACAAAACAAAATGAGAGGTCAAAGTTCATTTGGTGCTTTGAAAACAAGAAACAAAAAGCAAATGACTTTCCGTACATGCCTGTATCGGTTTAAACACAATTCAACAAAAAGGATGATCTAAATCGAAGGTATCCAGAATTTAACATTGTCCCACAGAAACAGAATCTGTATCCACTTCTGTTAATTTACACTTCTTCAACGGTTTGAGTGTTCATTATCGTACTTTGAGATTCAAATGAATGTCGCCATTGTCTTTTTTGAGAAGCGTTCTTCATTTTCGTTGGCTTCCAGCATTTTTTACCAATCCTTTTAATGAAAATGT